TGAGGAACAGAATGTGGGTCTGCCAGTAACAACAAGGATATACTATTGTAGAAGGAGTTCATTTTCAAAATTTGAAAAAAATATATTTGAAACATTTTCTTTTGTGCTAAGATACACTTAAGTTGGAAACTTTATAGTTGGGTGAATTTAAAGAAGGTAAACATTATATTTTATTTATTCAAATTTAATTATTTATTTCTGATCATCCAACAGCACATTTAGCACCAATTATAGGATGATAAGTGGGAAAAAAGAATTGTTCAGTTTTAGAGGTAGGAGGAAAACCCAGGATAGAGGTTTTGGAGAAAACCATGAACTCAGGTAAGGACTGAAAACCAAATCCACATGTGGACCGAGCCGGATTCGAACCAAGGCCCCCAGAGGTGGTGGTGATTCCCCATATACATATATTTATGATTTACCTGAATGCCCCCAAATTTGTCACCTCTTTCCCAGTGTCCCCCCCCCCACAAAGCCCTGAGTTTATGAATTGCACTGCAGACTTCATTTTAACCTGGTATATCCAAGTTTGTACATGTTCATTAGCAGATGAGGTGAGGAAAAAGACTAGCAGGTTCCACGGCCCCTCCGAGCGGGACAAAAAACTTGTTGTTTCTGAAAGATGATAAGAGAGCAATTATGGGGACTGCATTCCATGTCGCTCTTCCTGCCAAAAAAAAAACATGCCCTCAAACTTAGCCTCACCCCTCAGAAAGGCCAAGAAGATCATTTTCTTAAATTCTGTGGCCCCCCCCTCCGAAACTTCCCCCCACCCCCAACATAGGGTTGTGGATCAACTATTCTACATGTACATGTATATGCACAAAATGATGAGCCCTTAGATCAGTACACGAATATCAGGAAGATTACCTGATAAAAGATGTACTTTCTACGGGCAAATTAATAATAAATTCACATTTAAAAAGTGCATGTACTTCATCAACCATCAAGTTAATTTGATGCTTCACGTTTGTGCTGCAAGTGAATTGGTTGACTAGAGCTACCGTAAGTCTACTGTAGGTCTTTTCCCATTGGAAATGTGCAGGGACTCACACAGCCATGTACATTGTAGCTCTGGAAGCCTGTTTTGAACACGGCTTTGGACTGATGTTAGAAGCCGCGCCATTTATGAGATGTGATGTCAAAGTTTGAACAAAATTGACCCAAGTCAGTGTTTTGCCAGCTCATTGTCAAATATGTCTGGCAACATACGTTGTCTGCTTTGGGATGTTTAGTAGAGACCCTCAAGTTCCTCGGAAGGACAAGTGGGACAACACATGAACAGGGTACAGAGACCATGTGCCTATAATATTGCAGAAGTCAGACATAGTCTCTATAGGATCCCCATAACAGAACTCTCTACCTTAAAGCAAGTGGTAAAATACTAATACAATGCAGTGCAAATACAATACTGAACAAATGGAAAATAATTTATTGGTAATTCCCAAAATTAGGGGTCCAATTTTGTGTGTCTGTGCCACATCTGACATATGATTTTGTAAGTTCAGAACACATTTTGTAATTTCCAAGAGGGTAAATTAATGCAGATTACCTGCCAAACAAATAGTAATAGTTTGCAATCAAGTCTGGTGATATTTCCATGTCAACTAACAAAGGTCAGATGTAACAGGGACACAAAAATGTCACACTTTTGGACCCCTAACTTCTGGAATTACCCTTATACATATAAAAGAAACTACTTGTTGAGATATACTTGCAGTTAAAAAAAAAACACGGCTAAAAAATCTTGACTGTTTAGAAGATGATTTCTCTATGTGCAAGCTTTCACAACCCATCACAACATAACATAAAAATGTCAGGCAAGAACAATAAAGACAAAAAATTCAGGTGGCATTTAGAATCGTACATGAGTCAAGATAAATTTGAAGAGTTTATTTCCAAAATGAGATAAGTGCCATTTTGGTCTTTTATTGATTTTCACCTTTTCCTGGTTGCCTCAAGCCAGTTTCAGAGTGAGGATGCGCGCGCATTACTCTCGGGTCAGAAGTATACTCCTGCATAACGGGGAGTATACTCTCGCTGATCCGTGGGGCGTACTCCTGCCATTTGTGCGCTTCGGGAGAGTACTCAGCAAAAAAAAAAACTCAATGAATCAGAACAGTGAAAAAGAACATTCAGGGAGACCTAGTAAACTCTTTGTTCTTCAATAATTGTAGAAAAAATTGCTCAATACTTTACTGGTGTATATCTTATTTTGGAATGAAGCCCTTCAGTTGTACACTCATTTGTTAGTGCAAGAAATGTGTTTTCTTCAATATTTTGAGTTGATAAATAATGGGCCTTCACGACCATTGCCCGTCTGTCACAGGAAAGATGGGAAAAAGCATGCTCGTGGCCCAAATTGATTTCCAAGAGAATTTCTGGGCACTCGCCCACGTGGATATTTTTAGACATACTGCGGAAAGGCCAGCGGGACTTCCCCCTCAGAAGAGAGGATGTCTGTGGGCAAAGCATCATGTTCACCAACTTCATCTCATAAGCACATGTCGTTTCAATTCCTTCCAGCTAAACAGTCCATTTGTACAAAAAAAGGGAACCAAAACAGAAATAAGCAGAAGCCAATTTAGGAAATTTGGTATTGCACTTTAATATGGTACCAGTAGCTGTAGACTGGTAAGGTATCGAGTTGCATTCCAGACTGAGTTGTGTAGTATCCCTAACAACAAAAGAAAAAATTCTTTCATTGTAATAGGACAAATTTTCTAACTTTATGACATTCATTATTTTAATGCCATTTGGCAGGTAAAACGACTGACATTAAACTAACACACTGAATGCAGCATTAATAACAAATAATCACGCTGCCATCAAGCGTGTTTATGGGCTTGGTGAGCAGGGGTAATATCAGTATAGGGCCTTGGCCATCAATTACATGTGCTTGTGGGTATGGGCGCTTTATGAACTTGCATTACTGTATAAAGTATAAATTGATAAGGAACATAGAATCTTTTTGCTGAAGGTTGGCAAAATTTTGGTCTTACATGGTCAAGGTTTATTTTCCCCAGAGTGTTCAAGGAAGAAATTGAGATTTCCTTGAGAAATCCTCACTAACATTCTCAAACGAGTATTTGCCTGTACATACATGTAAATGTGCGTACATCCCCCGATCTGCAAAGCTCAATATAAATTAAATAGTCCTTCGTCATGCGTAATGAACACAGGCACAAGAACTAATGAGCCAACACCGCTCCAGCAGTGCATGACAGCCAGAATATTTATCATTTAATGACAGCACACCTGCAACCCCTTAACCTTTGCCTCTCCTATGTTAATTACACACAAAATGGCATTCTTACACCTACACAAGTAGCCTAGCAGACCACCAAGTCTTCCTTCCACCAAGTCTTCCAAAAATCTGGCCGAGTAGCTTGGAATTTAGGATGCTGCATTTATGTACATTTTAGAATATTTCATCTTAAGTACAAAATATCTTAAGAAAAAAAAACTAGTGCAGTATTTTTACAGGGCAAATCCACCTGTAATATTTCCAGAAATGCACTAGACCTTGATTAGGGTGGGGAAGGGGGGGTCCTAAAGCGTGTCCTCAACCTCATGTTATGCCCCCGCTTGGCTTTTAAATATTTCTTATCACCACCTGGAGAACAGCTGCAAAGATGATTTTTTTTCCCAGGCAACAATGTCATAGAGCTGGTGGTGAGAACAGAAATTTGCTAAGGAAAAAGAACTGCTCGACAGAAGCAGGCTAGCGACAAAACTCTCGTTTCAGCATGTATTTCTTGTGGTTGGTTGCCTTGCTGATTTTGGTTAAGCACGGAAATCTGCTTTGTGGCTCAATGAAATTGGGACCAGATGCTTAGTACAAGACATGAGCCTCGAGTGTGGCCACTTTCCAGTCCCAATAATGAGTATGTATCAACAGAGGGGGCTGTTTGTAATTTACTGCTTGAGCATAGAGCTCATGCTTACCTGACCTTACACTAAAAGGGGCAGTGTGTGAATGTGCCAGAGGTTATTGACCTGTTTTGCTTACTCCTTTCTGGACACCATTGCTGTATCTGCATGTACATTTCAGGCTTAGAAAAAAAAAAGAGAGGTTGGACTCATTCTTGATAAGTGCAAAACTGGTTACCCCAATCTCTGGACTTATAGGCAATCTGGACTTGTCTCAGTTGCAAGAAACCATCAAACTGGTGCAAAAGTCAAGCTATTTGCCTCAACAAAAGATCATCACTCCACTTCAGGAGAGACAAGCCGCATCCTCGGATGTTTCCCTGCATTTTTTCCGACAATTCTTCACTGTTAAAATGGTGCACAATTCATACGACATGTATGTACACATACATACAGGAGTGTACCCTGACTAAATGCATAGAAAAACAACCATCCTTATCCCCGAAAAACAACCATCCCTATCCCCGAAGGAACACTGCAATGATGCCAAATCTGAGTGACGTCAGCATGGTTAGGATTTTCATCAATCTTATAATTCCATAAGCATTCAATACAACTATAAAAAGTGTATTCATTCAATGTACTTTTCCAAATCCATTCATTTCATAAGATATTAACTGGGAAGGGCATGTATTGAAAAATATAACCAATTAAAAAAAATGGTAATATTATAGCATTTCATTGTCTGCAAATATTTAATTTTGATCACGGAGAGAAATTGTTGGCATCCTGACATTTCTGAGAATTAATTTAACTGCACTTTGCCTCAACTGAGAGTCCGCATTTCACCGGACTAAAACTGGCTGCAACTCCCAACAAATCTCTGGCTAGTGCTTTCCTGAGTCAGTGTTGCAGACGAGACCATCACAAGACAGGACACAAGACCAGACACAAGACCAGACACAAGACCAGGCACAAGACCATGCACAAGACCATGCACAAGACCATGCACAAGACCAGACACAAGACCATGCACAAGTAACCAGGGTAACAGGGTGAACAATGACAAAGGAATCCTTTTGTTGCAGTTCATTTGAATAGCTTGTGGCTTGAATTCAGACTGGAGGTCTTGTGTTGGTCTTGTGCTGGTCTTGTGACGGTCTTACATGTAAGTGGTCTTGACTACAACACTGCCCTGAGTCCATCACAATGTCGCTCAAGTATGAAACCTCTCTGGCACATTCTTTATGGACACAAATTGGATGTCACGTCCCATGAGAAGTACTGATGCCAGAAACCTTCAGTCCCTGGATTACGACCGATCTGAAAGTGTTTGGCTGTAGGCCGCATCTGAATTATGTTGCTGCGGCTACGGCTTTGTGCACTTTCCATATACATATATACATGTACATGCATTTCCAGCCATAGCCTACAAATCCAAATGTGGCCTAATTTTTTTTATTTGATTCTTAGGCCGAGGACCACATTTCTGAATTGATATAAATCTACATATGTACAGGTACTTCTTGCCAAGACTTAGCATTTTTCTTCTCTCCAAGTTTATAACTACGACGAGGCGCACATCTGATTCATGTAGACGACTATTTAATATTTCCGACTAAGACAAAGGAAGACTACCCATTTCAAAGATTTCCGAGCATGTACATTTACAAAGACAAATAAATACTATTTTCAGCAGCCTAGCCCTGGTACAATTGATCACTTACTCTGTGCTTGGCCGTTAAGTGACTCGTATTAATGGAGCTTAAAATTCACTTACAATGAACATTTGAAATATGTACATCTCAAAAATATATGCAGTTTAAAAAAAATAAAATGAGCATAAAAAGCATCGCACATACCTTTTTTTTGGTGGCTTTCTGGGTTTTTTTTATGAAAAAGGATATGAATTTCTCCTGGGACAATACTGAGGACCCTTGTAAAGGGAGAAAGATGCTTACGGTGAGGGTTCCAAAAAACTTAGCTGGGTGTTCTCAACGGGCTACTGTCAAGTTCATGTCGCTAGGGGGATCAACCACTCAGTTCCTGGGCAATGCTGATGGGAACAGCTTGGGTACATTTGGCGAGGTGCTCTCCTCAGCGGAGCTGTTTCAAGCAGGCACAACTGTCCATTCTGCTCTGCTCTTGGCATTGATTATTGTGAAGATAGAAACAGTGGGAGATCTCCGGTTCCCAATGAAGGAGCCTTTTTTTCCCAGTGACGACGACCATCCACTGATGGAGATCTGGTTACGCCTCCTTGCTGAATAATCTCACGATGGAACAGCACATTCCTGAAAATGCCGGCAAGTAGCGCACTAAAAAGACGCGCTCAGCCACAGAATAAAGGAAACTCCATGGCAGACTGGTTTAAAGCATTCACTAAACTACGCGCCTCAAGACACTATCGCATTTGTACCAGCCACAACAGAGTGACATTTGAAAAAATTCAGCAGATCAGTCAGCTATCCCCCTAATACTGTTTAACTCTACGATTTGAATTTTCTTTTTTATGCATGAAGTTTAAAAATGGTCCGAAACTCCATACCACGGTTGTCTCACACCTTGGTTACAAATGGTGTCGCCGATACTGTTATGTGCATAATAAGCACTTCTCACGATGAAAGCTTAGCGGTAGCACTTTGCTTGCAGGCAGCAATTTCGAACTATCAGACAAGGTAATAACGAATATCCGGTGAGCGCAGTCTCCCCAGTTCTATATGTCGAGAGCGCCCTCAACTGTCCGTGCTCGGAGAGACTGATCCTGCAGGGCTGCATCGCAATTGAAGACCCCCCTGTCCTGAGATGGCATCGCCAGAAAAGCGTCGGTGATCCAGGGGCTTCTTCAAATGTGGCAAACCCAACACAGAGAACCTGGCTACTCTCTGGAGGCTGAAACTGGGAGCAGCTCGGTGGGAGATTGGACACCGGACAGTCTCAGTTCACAGGCCTATCTCAGCTTCCAGTAGCCCAGGCCTCTGTTCTTGGGTCGGACATAGGCCTTAATGGGTTCCTGGATTCCCCCGCCATCAGCGCCGAGTCCAGTGCCGGGGACCCAGCCCATACTCTGTAGCATCTGACAGCCGAGGTTGCTCTGTGGAATCGGGCCAGCTGATCTGCCAACTTGACCTTATTTTCAGAAGTAAAAGAGTATCAAACAACCTTTCATTACAAGCAATGAAAAAAAACCAAGCAAGCAAGCAAGCAACACCAAAACAAAACAGTTTTTAAAGAACTAAACCTAAAATAAGGCCTTGGGGAAACAGATTTAAATCTAACCAACTGCCACTAGCAAGCTGACCTGTGACATAAATAAATGATACCAATGACCGATCAAACATTGTGTTAAGAATTCACTCAAATTTTTATCTCCAAGATTTACTTTTTTGGCAAAACTTTTGTAGAGCGGCTTGCTACAACAACATTGATACTTTGCGATTTTGCTGTGTCATGTTGCTAATCAGCCGATTTCCGGGTTTACTTTTGCCATGGAAATTTTAACCACATCTTGCCACATGACCCGGTATCGGGTACCTTATGTTTGTACACATAGCCGGGGAGCCTGAAATCGGACAAAGGAGCTGGGTCTTGTAACAAAAGACCCGCACTCAGAACAAAAGACCGAGCTGCTGGGACTTTAAGAACATGTTTTCAGTTGTCAATAGCGGAGGTAATCCACCCTTTTTTTGAAACACTATACCACTATTTATGGCATTCAAAACAAAGGATTACAACCACAGATGAAAGCTCTCCGGCGCTGCAGTGCTGAGCAACACAATACCGCTGCACGCTAATCTGGCCCCATTGAAAAAGATGCCAGCAGCGAACTGCTCCAGTTTCGAGAAAAAAAAAAATTATGCAACACCGCACAATCTGGGCTCTCTTTACAAGGCAGCAGGCCTGGCTGAAAACACACAGGCGTCAATAGGTGTTGCCTTTCAGATTAGAGTAACCACCAGTGAGTCATTCGTATGGGTGAAAACGTCCAGTAAATGAAGCAATTAATTTTTGAAGAATTTGAAAACGGAAAATCTTGAAAAACACATGTTTTGTGCATGGCCATTTTAAGTTAACCTGGCAGCATATGGTTAACGAACAAAACAGAAAAAGCAACTGGAATGGTGCCAACTTGGGTAGTATGAAAAACCCACAGGACTAATTAAATGCTGTTTACCACCACAGGTTACCAAGAGAGGCCTTTTTTGGTTCAAAATGCATCATGGGACAGTTGACCTCAAGGAGTGATAGTTTCTTCTCAAAAATGCTCTCGGATACAATCCCCAAACCTACGTATTTTTCAGTCTCACAAAACCCTCCTTTAACTCCAAGTAGATTGTAAAGCATCTTGAATAAATCGGGCTGACTGCTGTTTACCTTCTGTGATGGTTGGGGGAGGGGTTTTCCGCCTCCTCTTGGCATCGACGAACTGTGGGCAGAGAGACTTTCTCCCTGGGCTGATGCGGTCCACTGACAGGGACACCAGGCCCAGGGCTTCCTCCAGGTTGGGATCCCCCATGGTAGAATTTCTGGCGGAATATTAAAAACAATCATTGACATGCTCTTTCAAATCCCATTTGTCGCATTCGGACAACAAAAGTAACTTATGACGCCATTGAGAAGAATTGAGCAAAGCAAATGAGACTTAGATCATAGCAGCTCATTTACATTTTTAATTAACATCCCCCGCCGCAAATCAATCCTTGCAAATGGTCATCCACATTTTGCTGAAGCAAAAATTACCTCAAATGACTCCGATCACGATTCGATATTTGGAAAAACATCCCTAACTGCACATACTATTTTAAAACTGAAGACAATCTGAATTCTGTCAAAATTTTGAAAGTTTGCTCTGGTATAACCTCGAGCAAAAAATTACTTATGAGCATGAGATTTTGAGGGGATCTTAAGTAGGGTCACAAAGTAATTCTGCATTTGACTCTTCATGTACAGGGTTAAGTCTATGTTATGCTGGTTAAAATACCAGGGCACACACATTGGTAGATCCAATGAAATATTAACAAATTGAAATAAAAAACAATGAATTAAATGAATGAATTAACTTTGGGGACTGTTTCAAGGCTGCATAAAGAAATTCCCCATTTTTTTTTTACCCCCTCTGGAAAGAAAATTCACTGAACATTAACTACGAGTGTAGATTTGTGGTAGCGCCATGTGACTATCTCTTTTGGGAAGATTTGTGGTTCTGAAAAGAACAGTAAGTTGAAGCTCGACGTTGAAGATGATCAGAGCATACTGACTGCAACCGAGCAGTCAGGTTGGCTTAGTGGTTCTTTCCTCGCCTTCCACCCCTGCGGTCCGGGTTCGATTCCCGGCTCGGTTCACATGTGGATTGGGTTTTCAGTCCCTACCTGATTCTGTGGGTTTTACCCAGAATATTCCTCTGGGGTTTTCCTCCCACCTCTAAAACTATAACTGCTTCTCATGTGCCCGAGTCTTCCAGGTACATGACGTTGGTACATCACTTGGAAGAATAATGAATAATGAAACGTCAACTTTCAACTCACTGGTTCTTTCCCAATAGAGAGAGTCACACAGTGGTACTGCAAACCTTCCTTCGTTGATACCACCACCATGCAACGTCTTATTACGGAAGTACCCAGTAACATTATGGGAGGAAGCCTGATTCAGGCGTGATCTAATTTTCTGACCTGGTTTTGACGAGGACGGGTGATCTCTTACACCGGGCTCCTTCGGTTCTCATATCCAAGGAATACAGGGAAGCTAGCTGGCCTAGCTGCGTCCGTTCCTTCTTCTTCATGGGCTGAAAAAGCAACCTAGATGGGAAATTTGAAGAAAAATCATGCCGAAAAGTTAGATGTTGTGGGGGGTCAGGTTTGGGGTACTGACTCTTTCCTCGCCTTCCACCTTGGCAGCCCAGGTTCAAATCCCACCTAAATCGGTGTGTTTACTAAGTTTTTCCAGTTTCCAAATGATTCTGTGGGTTTTCCCTGGATGAATGTATCTGGGGTTTTCCCTCCCACCTCTATAGCCGAACATTTCCCCATTGTCTTCTTCACTGTGAAGGCCCCAGCTTTCGCTGGAGGAGTTGCCTCATTCAAAGATGGGTTAAGATGGTATTACATTCTTTTACAAAAGACAGGAAAGCAAATGGTAAACCTCAGATCCACCTCCCGCTATCAAGACTAAAACATCCTGAAACACCCTCAGGAAATTGTCACTTTTACACTGGAAAGCCACATGGCTTTAAAACATTTAAGTAGCATATGCTGTTTGTTATTGAAATTAATGCCCCTACATGTAGTTTAAATCAAGCTAGTACAACAAACTGCATGAACCGAAAATTATGGAGGTAAAAGTAAATTTTTAAATCACTTCACGTGAGGCCTTGTTCCCTTTGCAAGCTAAAAAACATCGACAAATTGGTCAATCTCTAAATTACAGTTAAATTATATCTAAAAAACATTAAATTCAGTTTTAACTTACTCTTTTTCGTGGGGATTTCTCAGGAAGCCTACAATCTTCTCATTAACGGAGGACAAGGAAGTTCTTTTCAGCCTCTGTATAGAAAAAATACACGTACATGTACCAGTGAGTGTTACACGTTTTATGGAGCTGAGTGTGTGTGGGCTTACATGTACATTTGGATGGGTTTCACTGTCATGAGCTGGTTCCCACAAAACTGGCTTGATAGGCTGACAAAATCCTCCCGGCAACATATGCTTGAGCGACAGCTTGAGTTTAACCAAAACCTCAATAAGAAGGGTTTCAGGTTTTTAGAACGTGAATAGTCTGCACCCTTCTGTGTGCATTTATAAAAATATGCTCTGAATGTGTCCAAGATCACCCTCGTTACCTTGGTTTTGTGGATTCTTGGTCTGCAGCCCCTGAGCTGGCCATCCTCACCGTTCTGAAGACTCCTCAATCGTGACTGGTAATCTGAAATAATAAGGGGAATTTCAGATTTCAGAAAGGGCGTTCAAAACGAGGGTGGTCAAAATTATTCCAAGGAGGGCCCTGGTTGGGCTTTGCACGTGGTACAAGTGTGCAAAAATAAGGTGCATATCCAATCTAGTGACGTGCTTAGTACTTGGGCCATTTTATCGGTGACCTCACGGAAAAGAGAAGTTATTCCCCAGTTCCACACCCTCATTGCTTTAACAAAATAGCTCCCTCTTCGGTTCAAGCGCAGGATCAATATCCCTAAACTCCTTTGATTAGATAATTTTTGAGTCTATCCAATCCTTCAATAATCCATTGGTAAGTTTGGAAGGGTTTTCCAAGATAGAAGACGGGAACCAGTCAATGGCTTCTGCTTCCAAGTAACTTGACAATGGCTTAAAATCACACGTGTTTGTGTAAAGAGCAGAAGTCGTTAGCCAAAGGCTTTCATGGGCATGCCTGCCATTTCAAGCCAGAGTTGAATAACTTGGACAGAGTCATGATGACATGGTTCCTCATTCTCCTTGACAATACCCACAGGAATGTGCTAATAGCTCCCAGCCCAGTGGAAACATTTTTGAGGTTCCTTGCAGGAATGCCTACAGACTAATTGTCTTGGGCTGAAGTACCACACTCCTAGGTTGAAAAGAGCCACGCTGGCAGGAAGTATCATCGCCTGAATCCGAGTTTGTCCGAGCTAGGTCTACGTCTGTGCTCCATTGCAAAGAAGCAGAGGCGTGCGATGAACTTAGCTGTAGCTCTGGAAGCCTGCATCGGACATTGCCTACATGATATCCCGCCCTGAGGCCGGGTTTCCGCTGCATTATTGTACAGGCAGAGGCACATGTCAAGGAATCAGGAACAGTCCATAACACTCCCGAGGTATGATGAGCATTACATAAACAAGGAAGCACGTTTGTGAACCTGCAAAGTGCAATTCCCACCACAGTAACTTCACTGTTGCTACGGAAAAAAAGTGCATCCTCTCTCGGTCCCGCAAGGGGCGGAATATGGTTAGCACAGTCACTTACTTCTCTGGGCGCTTCTGGACAGCAGAGGAATCGTGCCGTTTAAAATGTTACTGAATCTCTCGTCCTCCTTCATGCGTAATGCAGTCTTTTTCTCCCACCACGGAATGATACCGGGGATGCCGCTCAGTGCGTCAGGCTCCTGGAAGAAATCGCTCTGCTCGTCGTCACCTGAGGGAAGAGATAAAGGAATTGATCATGTGACCAGTCATGTGTCCTGGCGCGAGTGAAAGGGAACTAAGGATAGGGAAGGAATGCCTCTATCACAATTGGCTTGAACAGCTAGTAAATAAATGCATGACAAGATGGCTTGGGTTGGACTGGAAAGGGCTTCTGCCCTCTGGACACTTGCTAAGACTTCATTCTGACCAGAAATATACCTCAGTACAATGCTATGTGATGTAGACGAGGGCAGGATATTAAGGACTATGGAGCCAGATTCACTGGCCGTATACTGAACTGCAGCCAGGAAGCCAAAATTACAAGCTACGGGGACAGACTCTCACGAGAAATTCTAGTATACTATGCCCGAAAAAAAAAACAATGAGGAGTGAGATGATCATTCTCCAGGGTATCTTTTTTTAATACTATTAGAAGTAATTCCCACAGTAATTTTCCCAGTTTTTCTTAAAGGTCATTTTGTCGACACCGAGTCCCTTTCAAGTGAAACAGGTGGAAACAGAACACCACTCAGTTCTGGTGTTAAATAGTCGCCCGTACTTACCCTCACGTCCCTCATCATTGGTGTACAATGCCCCCTCGTCACTGCTAGTCAGACTGTCATCGGAATCACAGCTGCTTCTACGACCAAGAAAACAAAAGTTGTCTGTTTCTACATTCACTCGCAAATGCGTACAGCCATTTCCAATGCATTCTCTCATGATTTTCCGATAAATTAAAGTATCAATTATCTAGCTCTCCATTATCAGAGATCAAGTTTTGGTTCTCATCCCATCAAGGTGGATGAGGATTGGGTTTTCAGCAAAGATCTTATAGCGCTGCAAAGCGACGCAACTCTGACAAAAAGGTGCAATCGCCATGGGAGCCATTCAAGCAAGCGATACACCTGCGCAGTGGACGTTAATGCACAGGCGCGCACATGCGTACCCAGGTTTGCATGCCAGGCACGGCACCTGCGCATTAATGTGTGCATTGCACAGGCGTATCGCTTGATCAAATGGCGCCCAGGTGATTTCAACATTTTACGTGTATTCACGGTGAAGTTCTCCATCTTGTGCCGCTATGTAGTGACGATCTTTGGTTTTCAGTCCCTACTACTGATTCCATTGCTTTTCACAAAGAAAAACTGAGCACTACTTCATTGTTTTACACATTTCTTTAGGTTGTGAGCTACAGTGCCTTTAGGTGTTAGGACATACATTAAATGGGCAGGTTTGAGGAATAATGGGTAACAGAAACAAATGCTGGTAAAAAGAGCTTGGAGACAAAAACACAATATGCAATAAGTGTCTCTTTGAAGTTTATCTGTGAATATCGAAATAGCAACTGGTAATGAAGCAATGACGGGTTGGTGCGAACCTGTCTTTAGAGGGCAGTGCATCCATGGTGACATCACTCTCATTACTTGTGCATTCCATCTCGCGTCCAATCGTTTTCTCGCTGGCTGCATCGCTCCCTGACAGCTTCCGTCCAGTCCCAGATGAGGTGTCCGGCAGAGACACAGGGCTTTCGGTGGACACCCTCTGGTGGACACTGCTGTCGGAGTTTGTGGCAAGATCAACTTGGCTGGGACTCTGCGGACTGGAATCCGATTTGCTCGGCTTAGAGACCGACCGATTTTTACTCCCACCAGCGCAGCCCCGTTTCTTGGATTTGAAACCGAGAATGTCAAAGCCAAATTTCCCCCCGTCGATGTGGGACGCGTTTTCCGCATTATCTGATGGGTTGTTTCTGGATCTCTTTAGCTTGTGTCTCTTCCGGCTACACTCTGGCAAGAAGTCGGCGCCGCAGGAGAACTTGATTTTGGCTGGGGGGCAACCACCGGGCGGAATACGGGTGGGGTCCACCACCATGCGCTTGAACCGCTTCTTGCGCCGCAGGGTCTGCTTGGGGAGGACGTGGCTCTCGGTGACGGAGTCCGACTCGCCGTACAGGTTGCTGGAGGAAGTGACGTTGAGCGAGGAGAGCCGCCGCATCATCACGGTATCCTCCGAGGCTGAGTCGCTCTGGTGGGCGGCAACGTTCTCCATGTAGTCCTTCTGGGCCTCGTCCAGGCTGGTGTCCGACCCCTCGCTGAACCGGACGTTGTGCTCCCAGGCCGGGTTGGAGTCCATCCGGCGCTTCCGGCCCCGTCGCTTGCGGGCCTGGCGCTTGACGAACTTGGGGCTGCTCATGGTGGATGTCTGTGGGCCGTTTTCTGGTTGCCGAAAAGTTGATAATCGTGTTTCTATTGCAGCAGCAAGGGCTTTTTCCATACCATGTTAAAACACGTCACTGAAAAACACAAGTTAATCTTCTATCAGATAAAATTCCAACTGCCACTTTTAAAAGAATGTTGATAGTCACTTTAAACAAGTTTCACTTACAATCTGCCCTACGTTGACAGCAACAGAGTAGTTCTCTTCGGAACATTTCAACGAATTCCTAAACTTTGACAAAATGTTACTCAGCTTCTTGCCCAAATGTAATGAACTCAGGTTTTTGGTTATTGTGTACAGTTGACTCTTGTTAATACAAGGGCCTTGGGACTTACTCAATTTGCTTGTATTATCTGGACCTCGTCTTATGCGAAAGCTGCCGTCCTGCTTGATGTACATGTATTACCAATCCACTGTAGGTGAAGCTTACATGTATACATATAAGTATGCATAACTTTTTGTTTAAAAGCACGTATGTTTTGTTATGAATTGGATTTCAAAAAGTTTATGAAAGTGAGATGTGTACGTACAGTTTAATGAACAAAGACTTGTACTAAAGAACAACAATAAAATGTAAGAATGGAGGAAACAGACTTTCCACCAGTCCTATTGAGTTGGAGCGATGCCGTATCACACGTCCCCCGCACACCATGATGAGATCCACATGCACGCACGTAACATAAAAAATGGGAGGAAACCAGCTATTGGTGGAGTGGACAGTGGTGAATATTGAATTTTAATTTGACACGGCGTGTGGGTTTGGTGAAAAATTCTGAGCAAGGGATGCACTTTTTTTTCTTCAAAACTTGTGGATGTTACTTTCTTTGGACTGAAAACCAAGGTTTAGTCATGATTTTCTTAAATTGAGGATTTATAGAAATATCAATTTTGTTGACAGGGTGGGCATTTTTTGGGCTGGGTGTTTGGTTACGGAACACAATTTTGTTTAGTTTCCTGGGGGACTTTGGTCTTGGGGAATTTTTGGGGGCGAGGGAATAGAATGAAAGATTTCTTTTGTTCACCACTGTCCAAAATATCGAGAGTTGCCACCAATGACTATTTCCTCTATGGGCGAACGTGGTCCCCTAACCAAACCACAGGAGAGGCCCAAATGTAATTGGGGCACATGACATATTGACCAGAAAACAGTCATTGGTAGTACTCCCAACCGTCACAATCAACAAGTCGTGTGCCCAGACCACGTATAGGCCACTCATGCGTGTTTCTGGGAGGACCATGTTTCACCCATAGAGTTATTACGTATTCTAAATCTTGATACACGCATTTGAAAGGTACAGCTGACGAAAAGTTAAAGTGCTGTGCGTGTGTCGAGTGAAAACAGTCAGATTTTGACAGATTTTGAAGTCACAAACATCACTGAAGCCCCAACCATTTGACGTTGCCATTTACGGAAGCCAGCAGGTGGTGACAGAGGTATTTTTTGGTGAGTCTTTGACATTTTTGAGAACTGTTTCAACCTTACTGTATGTACAGGCGTGGAGTGTAAGTATGACGATCCCGTCCAAACTCGAAAAAGAGGAATACTAACGCTCCACTTAGTAGAGCTAGTCACTGACGCTACATGCCAAGAAAGACCGACTCACATGACCAAATCAACATAATCAATCTTGTTCTTAAAAAGCTGCTCATAAGTCACAATCATTAAAATTAGGGAAATAATGTTGCATCCTGACTCCACCTTTCTCATCATATATCATCTCAATAAAAGTCAGTCCTTACAGAAATGCTGGAAAGACACGAATTCTGGACTGAGAATCATTTACCGATGTTGTTGGGAAATGCTTAGAAAATTCTCTTCACATGTCACAGTTCACTCCCCATCTTTGTACACAACTGCCGAAGTGGAGTCAGGATGCAACATTTTTTTCCAAAATTAGACCTGTGTGATCAGTTAGAGATATAGATGAGAGAATCTCACCGGCTGGATGACATTTCTGATATTCCAGGGTGTAGACAATTGAGCTACTGGAGCACTGAAATTGAAAAATTTCACAGCATGATTTCGCGTGCGCCCACCTCCTTGTATACATGTATATATTATAGGCATTTCCCATGCAGATACAACATAATGTACATGTACATGTACGTGTGCCGCAGAAGGTTGCACTGGTAAACATACTAACGGCATATTCCTCACTCAGTTTCGCCATGGTACCAGTGATCCCCATAATTTTAACAATATAGATCAATCCATGAATGCCTATTACCATTCCTCGCAATTTACAAAAGAACGAGCCACCAAAAACAATAGATGATGTTGAATCATGGTTAATAACATCAAATAATCAACAATCTAGGAAGTGATTGCGCTTGTTGTCCTAAAACGCGGCGTCTTAGGAAATACATCAACTACACGCTGTAAAATAACATTTCAACCAAAACAACCCATTAATCTTGGAAGCGATCACTCAAGCGCCGGAGAGTACGAGGTTGCTGTCGCTATAGTAACTGTGACTGAGGATGTACATTACGACAGAAAATGGCGACCGTCGTAAGATTATTGGAGCGGACTCCAAGTATTATGGAGCAAGTTTTTGAACGAAATAGGTAATTTGACCGAGTGCTTATTGCTTCATTTAGTGGTTAACTTGGTGTAGTTATGCAGAACGTTTAAAAAGCTTCATGAAATTTATGACCGTAGGCAATTGTTGGCAAAAATCCAGGCTACTGGTGTTGGAAATTTTCGGATCAGAAATGACAAAAACAGTCTGACCATGCAATCCTGCGCATGAGTTAGCCTATCGGATGTCGGACAACTCGACCGTTTGCCAACGCGACTTGGGACAACTCGACTGTTGAGACAACTAGACAGGTGGGACAAGTGGGACAACTCGACCATTTAGGCTAGGCCTACCAGGTTGTCTCTTAAGACAACTCTGCCGTTTCCAGTTCCATCGCCAGGTTGATTTTAGTGTCACTGTGCGAGTAAGTGACCAGAGCTAGAGGGGAACAAATTGTCTACAATAACAATTACGAGCATCCATTTGCCAAACGTTATGCAATGTTGTTGTCATGAATTTTTTCCCCTCTGTTTAGTCTTCTCAGCTTGTGCACATGAAATGTGAAAAAGGCTTATTATGAGTCTATTTGTCTCAGTGGACAGACAGTTTGCTCCAATGGTCAAGTTGTCAGTCCATTTGAGGCACACATGGTCAAATTGTCCCACTGGTCGAGTTGTCTCAATGGTTGAGTTGTTCCAAGTCGAGTTGGCAAATGGTTGAGTTGTCAGAGCCCCATATGAATGATGATAATGGTATGGTATAATTCTTTGCTGATTGAATGGCATGAATGGGGACAAAAGCTTCCAAAAATTGCCACAAAAAGTGATAAAGCCCTTAATTTTATGTAAAATTTCTTTTTAATTCATAAGAATTATGGAGAATGCACACCACTATGCACAATGCTAGTCAGGTAATCATGACAGCAAGCTGACCAATGATGTCCGTGTATTGAGTGATAAGCATGCATGATGCAGCCAGATGGGCAGGCGATAAACCTTGTGCCTAGGCAGGAAATTTTGTGAAAACATGCTCCCTTCAACTATGAGCAAAACAATCTAAACTTAAGTTCATGAACACAGAAAGTTCGTACAGACAAGAGACCAAGTTCTGTGAATTAAGTTGCAGAAAGCTTCTAGCAACATGGATTTTTTTTACATGAAGCTGTAAGGTTGTGTGCGTGTATGGCCGATGTAGTGTAACTAAGCCATTTTGACCGGTATGTATAGACTGGTTGCCACATTTCCATCGTGTGTTCTTTTGCATGGGTGCAGTGCGACGGGACCAGCACAACATTGCTGTAATGCACTGAGCTTTGTGCACATGTTTTTAGGGCTGTGTCAATTCGAATGATTCACTATTTGAATATTTGACCTTTAATGCAATTGAATATCTCTGAATATTTGGTTGAAACCGACTAACAGATTGTTGACGAACAAACCAAAATCAGTTGCAATAATGCAGACAATAATACATTATAACCACTATAATAGCTTCTCATGACTATCTCCAGCCTTGATTTAGCAAGATTTAAGAGATGAACAATACTTCTTGCCCTGTTGAAATTTCTACTCCTAATAATTCACTTTTTGAATTGTTGTAAAATTTCTGTCGCTTTTCTTTTGAATCAGCTTGAAACAAGCCTCCATATTGCAAATTTTCTTATTTTAAACTGAAGAAAATCTTCCCTTCCTTTTCATAAATTTTGCATTCAAATATTCAAATTTGGAAAATAATATTCAATTATTCGATAATCGATCAAATATTCAGATATTTGGCACACCCCTATGTGTTTTCACCACTGGAACAGTGAAACCCAATGGGAACTTGTGAAAATAACGGATGTTTCTTTTCAAAAGTTGCCAGTATTTGGAGGAAAACATATAAAAACAAGTGTTTTAATGTGAAAAAAGGTTGTCAAGAGGTATTTTGTGAAGACAAAAAAGACAACAGGATTTATTAGTTTTATTTCAAATTGTTTAAATTTGTTTGTCTAATTTGTCTGTAACAATTTCAGGGTTGTGCCAAAAAATTACGATTGGTTGGGAAACATGAAGCACAAGTGTCTTTTGTTTTTGGTATCATGCATGATATGTTGGGCCCGATCGGTTGATCAGCAAATCGCCCAACTGCTCTAAACAACTAGTTGATCGTGTAATAATCACCAACTTTACTTCCCTTTTTCAAAATAATATTTTGCAGCTGGGTTTGTCCACACTAAAAGACATTTGTGTTAAATTTCATACAATTTCCAACTGTAAAATTTTGCCATTATTTTTTGCCTACATGTGTCTTCACTGTTTCTGATTGTTGTCACAGCTAGGTAAAGATAAATTGAGCAGTATTTGAGAAATTACGGAAGTTCATTCTTGAATATATAACATTTGTCACATGAACAGACACTTTCTTTCTAAATATGAAACTCAAATTCAAAACACAGTTGAAAATTACCTGTAATGTATTAAATACCCTTTTTAGTTTACTTTTAGAAACTTTCATTATATTATAAAACAATTCCAGTGTAGATAACACAAATTTATTTCAAGAAAAAAATGTAACGTTTGTGACTGGACAGACATTTCTCTTGTGTTGAAATTAGAGCATGAAAACATAATTTTCACAAACCTTTGGTAAAAAAGTAGTGATTCCACCCTGATCAAACTTTTCATCTGGAGAAAAAGAATTACCAGAACAAGAGGTATTTCTAAAATTGATAATTATTTCTTTGTACTGGCAAAAGTTAAAAAAGTTAAAAGTATCGTAATGATTATAATGTGTTAATTTATATGTCAATAAAACCAGCATTTTGATCAAATTTAGGGTTGAATATTCAAACATTTAATTATTTGATCTGACTCAGCCCTCAATAATGTGACTCACGTTGGCAGGATAAATGCAATTTTGGCCTCCAGCATTTTTTTTCTTTTTGAAAATGCGGCTATTTCATGCCTATTTTGAATTTGTCGTCTGCTCAGGATTGCCGAGGAACAGCGATGGCTGGAATGGAAGGCATCTGTGCACATCCAGGCATGGTTCCGTGCCGTGAGGGTACGCTCCTACCTCAAACACCTCCACGGGTGTGCCACGGTGGTGCAGAGGCACTGGCGGGGGTACCTGGGACGGGCGTTTGTGCGGGTGCTCATCAGGAACCAGGTGCTCATTATGCGGCAGAACTTCTACAATGCCATGGCAACCATTGTAAGCCTCGGTTTTGATTTTTGTAATGTTTGTGTGGCTTTTTCGTCTATTTGAAAAGCTGGACTCTTTGTTTAGTGTTAAGAAATGCCACAGTGAGCAAACAAAGTGAAATGTAGCTTGGTCAGATTTTACTTTAGAGATTTACAAAGTTAAATTTGTGTACTGAGGATTTCACACTTTGTATACGTGTACATGTGTACTTTTCAATTCAGCCAGTCGAGGCCCACTTTTCACCGAACATCATAAGAAGGCACACATGTCAATAAACTGTAGCGTCTTCAAAAAAGAGAATTTTTAAAAATTTCAGATCAAAAATCTAAGTTAAAAGTTTTAGCAAGCTGTAATCCGCCCCGAGCAGAAGCACCCCCCTCATCGGTTGAAAAGAGCCATGTCGGTCAGGAGTGTTCATTTTGTCGGCAGCGATGCGACTGCAACGCTAGCATTTCATAGTCGTTTGTTAACCAGCAATGTGCAGTTACTACCAAAAGAGCCTGTGTTGCTAGTAAAATTGCGCCCTCTCTTGGTCCAGCTCAAAGCCCATTTGGCCACTTAATAACTTGCAACATCTGTAGCGATTATCCAGTATGTCTACTAAAGAAAACAACTTCACACTCGCAAGCTTGTTTCTTCAGTCAACCCAAAACACCTCATACCGTGTTTCTGTACTGCAGATCCAGAAAATGTGGCGGGGTTTCTACACAAGAAAGTACATCTCCAATTACTACAGTCGGAAGAGGTATCTGGAAGGGTTACTCGTGAAGAACGAGATCGTGAGGTGAGATGAGACAAATCAAAGGGGAGACATGACGCTATCAACTTCTGGAGGAAGTAACTTCTCTGTAATGAAAATGGGAAACATCCCTGTCAGTGTTAGACATTGTTGTGTGCAGTGTTTGTAAATGTGGGAACTCAGGTTTCACAGTTTATGCACACTTATTGGGAAAAAGAAGAACAAATTAGCCTTAAACGTCCTGAAACCCCCCAGCACTCAGGAGGATTCAAGACTATTAGGATGAATGGATGGTATCAAACAAGTTACAAGTAGAAGTGATGATTGCTACAGTACGGCCGTTTCACAATAGTGCGCCACCAAGAGTTTGCAACGCATTGGCCAATCACAGTGCACAAACTTTGTAGACCCAATGTGCGTTTGGAAAGGGTCGACAAATTTTGTGCATTATGATTGGCCAACATGTTGCAAACTCTTGGTGGCGCACTATTGTGAATAGCCCGTATTAAAAGATAGATGAAAATAATTGATATGAACTCAAGAATATCCCAAGAATAATAGCTCAGGCAGTGTGAGAAAAATTACAAAATTTATGTGTATAGTTATGAAGGATTTGTATTATTTGTTTTCTCATGCAAGATGTTAGTTATTCATTGGAGGCATTTATGGTCCTTTTTTCTCTCGGTAAAAGTCTTATTCCGAGGCTCTTAACCCCTTCACGGCGGGATTATTTTGACCGCGACTGCTGGGCTGTGGTATGCCCTGAATGGAGGGCTTTGTCCAGCAGCAGGCCCCATTGAACCAGCAGCTGCATGGTGAATAGACTGTATGTGTGGTATGCACTAATCCTCACACAANACCGCGAACTATTTTCAGATGAAAATAATTGATATGAACTCAAGAATATCTCAAGAATAATAGCTCAGGCAGTGTGAGAAAAATTACAAAATTTATGTGTATAGTTGTGAAGGATTTGTATTATTTGTTTTCTCATGCAAGACGCTAGTTATTCATTTAGGGCATTTATGGTCCTTTTTTCTCTCAGTAAAAGTCTGATTGCAAGGCTCTTAGCCCCTGTACAGTGGAATTATTTTGACCGTGACTGCTGGGCTGTGGTATGCCCTGAATGGAGGGCTTTGTCCATCAGCAGGCCCCATTGAACCAGCAGCTGCATGGTGAATAGACTGTATGCGTGGTATGCACTAATCCTCACACAATGGTGCGGTAGTAGCAGGTCCTCCGTCGCGAAGGGTTTAAATCAGCACTAGTGACGACGGGTATCATTTGTATCCATGTCAACTTTTTAGTGGTATTCACCATTGACATCGGTTTTTGTTTCCATTTCAGGCAAGAGCTGGAAGAGTACAGTGAACAGAAGAACCGAGAGAGGGCCATCGAGATGGAGCAGACGATGCAGCAGATGATAATCGATGACGCACGTAAACACCACTACCTACTCAGCACACAAGTGGTAAGGGAACCTTTAGTCGTGATGGGAGTAGATTGAGATTAGTGCCAAGCTTGGATTCTCTGACAGAAACAGCCAAATAAAAGTAGAATATAAGTCTGCATAAATCCAAAAATTCTTTTTAAAAGTTAGCCAGAGTAGGGACTGGGTTTTTGTGGACTCTGTTTTGTAATTAATTAGTGTTACCACTGTAACAAAATATCCCAGAGCATACGTACCAGGCAAAATTTGCTGGGAACCAGAGGCAGGCAATTACATAGTCCCTGACGTTTCAGCTGGTAGCGTGGTCTTGTTGGCCAAATATTTTTCTGGGCTTATCAAATTTGTGAGTTCGGAGACTCCAGGTCGTGGGAAGATTATAGTGACGCTGAAAAAGGCACCTTACAATCCAGCATCAAATCCAGTCGCAGTTGGTAAATTACAAATAAAATAATACTGTTGCTATAGGTTCCTGGCATCTACAACTCGCCATTCAAGCCATACCCTGATGAGATGGAGATGATTCTGAGGGGTGTCCAGCCCCGTCCGCCTCCGGGACCCAAGCCCAAGAGGGACAACAGGTCGGGGAAGGTCATCCCACCCAGCCCCCCCTTACCCCTCACAGAGCCCCTCCCACCCATCGGAGAATCTAAAGTAAGTAATCCTCCAGTAATTAATGTACAGGGTTCTCAGCCTTCCTGGAAATCAGGGAAAACCTGGAAAATGAGTTTCCCTTTTCTCCAATGTGGGAAAAGCCATGAAAATCAGGGAAAAGTCAGGGAATTTGATTGGCCCGGAAAAGAAAGAAACAGCCTATTCACTGAATGGTCTTTAGTGGAAAAAGGTTGGAATAATTCTCCTGTACTTTGGGGGGAAAATTTAATAGGGAATTTCTTTTCCATGAAAAGCTGGGGACTCTGATGTACGATTTTAATGTCATAATTTTATAGTCAATATCTTGAATGTCCAAGGAAAGCAGCAATTTTAAAAAAAGAGGAAGTTATGTCACATGCCCGGCTTGTTCGAACTTGAACAATTCATAAGATTAAACATCTTCAAAACCACTTCATTCGGTCCTGTTGAAGCTGCCTTCACATGTTGACCTTGAAAAGGAGTCTCAAGATGAAATGGCTTCCAATCTGCGCCATGCAGTAAATATAGAAGCACCGCTTACTGAGGTATTTTTTTTCAGTGTGGGCATTTTATCCTTCATATTGGAGATTCCATTTTTTCTGTCGGTTGCAGTACTTTGATATCTGATAATGTCATCATGACATCGCACTTAGGATCAAGACTGGTCTTCATGGCAGGTGAAAAGAAGAGGCGTTGATGTGTCATCCGGAAAGAAACAAAACATAAAAACAGTATAATACTGATTGGTGATCAGGTTGAGTGTGATCACCTTAATTATAGCCTAGCTATAAGCCAGCAATCTTCAAGACATAACGCTTGGTTTCACACCGCAACCATTCAGTTACAGGGGCCATTCAGGATGCCCGAAGAGGTCATCAAGCAGCGCTTCAAACCCCTGCAGCCAACGCTAAGGGTGGCAACCTCCTACACGTCAGTGGAGGAGGCCAGGGAAGCCATGAAGGCCAAGGAGTGGGTCATGAGGGTCAACGACAACATGTAAGCACTCTTCAAAACTTGGAGTTAAAACAACTGGTTCTTCTCAGAACCAAACAACTCAAGAAAGAAATTAGCTACAGCACTTGTTACAGCAAACGAATGAAACTTTAGGGTTTATTCCTGTTCTGATTTGAAGGATTGGAATCATATTTATGTTGACATCAAAACCAAGCCTGCAACAATCGAAACTGCCTTTTTTCTTGTGTATATGCGTGGAGATGTCACTTTTTTTAGCTAGCACTACCTCTGAAGTGAGTGTTCTTCTTGCTGTGCTCACCTAATGACTTGGTCGGGATGAAATAAATAAAGGCTCTGTTTGCAGAAAAAGTATGTGTTAAGCAGTGCAGTGACATTAGGCCCCAGTAGTGTTTGACATGTGTACCAGTGAAAGTGTATAGTTTTTGCAGAGGTCATACTATTTTGAGAGAGAGTTGACAACCTGAGCATAATTAATGCCCCATCACAAAGCCAGTAGGCTTGTGTTGTCAGAAGGCACAGGATTTTTGTCTGCGACTGAATTAACCTGTCAGTGGGAATGTGGTCGGTTCCACAAGCTTTCTAGCTGGTGTCAAAAATGTGCCTGTGCATGTGGTTTAATTCTTACAGATTTGAGCCCTTCACAAGACGAGATCGCGCCTACGATCCTCTCCTTCACACTACTTCCAAATATGGTCACCTGCCATATGGGACCAGATACTTCCGCGAGACAGAGGAAGCCAAGAATATAACGGCGATGGTAAGTCAGCTGTCCCCTACAATTAGACTCAACTTAAAGAAAAACTTGTTTAGAGTAGACAAGGTAGTGTGCAACTGGGGTTTGAAGAAGATGCGACCACATTGTTACCACTTTCAGCGGGCTAAGCATGTCAAGAATTGCAACGTAAATTGGATCCTATTGCTTTTACAAGAGGCTCATCTCGTTTTTGGTGAAGCACACTCCGTGAAATTACAATAGTCATACTACACAGAACATTCATTTCAAATGGAATACCTTTTCTGACAAGACATCAGGCTCTTCTTTCACCTTTGAGGACTTTTTATTTTATGCCTATCCTTGTCCTTGTTAAAAGTGACATCTCGTCCAGTTGTCACATTGTTTCATTTAAATTGGTTAAATACCTGAATTAATATTTTTCATAAGCTTTCTTTTGTTTTTGCAGAATGTTACGTAAAAGTAAATGTTAGTATCTATTTCTTGTCAAGATGTGTAAAAAAAGAAAACTCTCATCAATGTTTTTTACATTTTGTTCACAGAGGTTCCAGCCTGTAGTTTCCCCTATCCCAGTGTTTGAGAAGCTCAACGACACGTATTCTAAGGGCACTGAAACAGTTCCGTGATGAGAAGATACCAAATCTTGACAGACTCGAGAGGAATCTTCCAACATCTTCACACTAGCTTCCTTTTCTGTGATAGGTCTTTGGGAATCTTTTGAAAGACAATAACTACCTTCATTGTTGTTCACACACTTCGTATCTGAAACCTTCATTTTTTGCCAAATGAAAAGTTCTCAAAAACTGCACTGAATACAAAGATGATTTTGGCCAATTTTTTGTTGAGGTCTGTTCCCCATTAAAAATGATCCCTTCGAATTGCATCTGTTCATTAGCATTGGTGAAAATTGAGTTAGGGTGGGAATTTCTGTTCAATTTGAAAAACGTTTAGAAAACTTTCCCAAACTGTTTCAACATTTAGCCAATACTTTACAGAGGCTGCTACTGCCTTCCTTGGTGTTTTCATGTATGCATAATTATAGCGTTCAGTAATGCATGCTGTCCAGTCAATGTAAAAATATAGATCAATGTTGGGACATTTAAAACAAGCAATGTTTCTTGTCAGTTTCAGAAGTAATGAACAACAATCCAAGGAGATGCCATAGCTGAGATGGCACTACACTGGCATGTCACACACTCTGTTCAACCCAAAGCACACGGTTTGACTAATCACAACAAACATCCCATTGTTTTAAGCAGCATTTAATACAAACTTTTGACCTGTACATAAATTTGGTACTTCCATAGAACTGACTTTTCAATCTGGTCACTGGATATGTATATAAAATGTATAGTCTTGCACCAAAATCTAGCTTGTAATCATTTTTCAAACCAAAAACTGTAAATATTTAAATGTACTTGTAAATACTTTTATGAACTGTAAGAGTTGTAAAGTGCTTCAACATATGTCATTTGATCCGTATCTATCATTTTCAACATTGCTTTCCAACAAGGTCTTGCATTTGAATAAAACATATATTTCATTCTTCCAACTTTGTGACCATTTATTGTAATCACTTGGTAAAACTGTGATTGGCATTGCACATCATTCATGTGTGATAACGTGTTAAGTTCTTGTCTTGAAAAAAAGTTTTTTTACCAGCAATTTGCCTGTAGTTTGAAAGACAAACTGTTAGGAATTTGATTTGAATATGATTGATTTTTAATTGACACAGAACTTATGACCTAGGCTATACGCCATGCAACTGCTTATACCAGGCAAGATATGGGACGGAGGGGTACCCCCCTTACCTGTCCAATCCCTATACACACTCTAGACTATTGTTACCTAACACATCCCCCCCAGAAGTCTGTAAAGAATACCTGAGATTCCAATCAAACAATGACCAACACAAAGGCGGGGGGGTTCTCTTCGTCCCATATCTTGCTTCAAATGCAACTGCTGTGCAGAAATTGAATCCAAATGAGTTTGGCTATAGCGAGGCGTCATGCCACTGCTGTTCATAACACCCACAGCATGGTATACTCTGTCGAGCAGGAGGGCTTGCCCAATGCAATTTGCTGAACTGAATTTGTATTAAACACCATGATGCTTGTCATGCTGAATTTTGAAAAGTCCTATTTTTCAATACTTGACATGCCAGTAGCATGGCGTGTAGCCTAGGTCTAAGACTTTTAATCTCATTTGCAACCACACAATGTGGGATGATGGAATCCTGGTGGAAAACCACTATTATTTTTCAAGTGAAAAGAAAGTTGCCGTCCACATTTTTGTGACATAGGAACCATTCAGCTGACATTGCAAAGAATTTATCCCCACAATAACTCATTTACACGTTCTCAAAGCACTCAGACTAATTGTGAGCCAACCTTAAAATATTCAGCCACCACTCCCAATATTAACAGGACTACTTCAAAACAATGTTACATATTTAGAGAGGTTTAGTTTCATCTTAGTAAACAGAACTATCAAAGTCAATTTGCATCAAATACAAAATAATATTAACTTACACTGTAATTCAATTTATCATTATTTCTCCATGGTTGAGAGCTGAAGAATAAAAAATTCATATCTTTCACGATTTCTACTGTTGCACATAATACAAAATATCAAAGCAAAAAGTGGTATGAAGGATCAAAGGTGGAAATGGTTCCTCAATAATGGGGAATTAATGAGTTGTGGAAGCACTAAGAAAGTTGTTACAAGGAACTGCTACGGTTTTTTAATCTATTATAAAAGACAGTACCTCATATTTGTAAATGCCCTCAAGACAGAAAGATCCTCTATAGTGTGTATAAAGTCTGGCGACTTCTTGTTCTCTTATTTGTTGAAGTCTTGGTTCAAAACATTGAACTATCTGGCCAAGCACTTTGCTTATTTCCTAAAAGTATAATGTACAATAAATTGTAATCGGAGGTTTGGCTTTCAAAAAACATTTCAGGTCTCAATTTGTAACACGATTTCTTGTATGAAATTCATATAGTTCCCTTTTACGAGCTAAGCTCAGTATACAGAGCAAAATGTTACCAAAAACAATACTTGCACATTTCAAAGCCCTTTTATGGTTAAAAGAAGTCCTGTACTGTCAAAAAAACCCCTGACTTTGAGGTCAACCTGCACTCTCTTTTGGCAAAATTTCATCATGACACGCCCCTGTAATTACTGATTACTGCTACATGATCCTGATTACTGCTACATAATCTCAAGGATAACACATAAAATAACATTGCACGTCAGAAAAAATCATTAACACATCCTTGTTGAACTCCAGGCAAACAGTACAAGCCAACATATACGGCTTTCAAATGGTAATACTGAAAGGTGAAGGAAAAAGGTTTTTTGCCTACTTACGTCTTTCAAACAAAATATTGCTATATGTGTACCTCATGTTATATCAACACGTTCAAATTCCAAAGTACAGAAAAAACTAATTGTAAAAAGATAATGCAACGGTACATCAATAGTTATCGAGTACATGTACTAGACTAAGTCAAATTCAACAAGATGGAAAAATGAAAAAAATACTTTGCAGTATAAAAATGAAGAAAGTACTATAAACACTACACTTCATCACCATTTCACTAAGACAAAAAAGTCTCACTGGAGATATGCGTAAATACTAGGTTTCGAGAAAATCACACTTGAAAGCGGTCTCTTTTTCAAACACACGTATTTGCCCAGAATACAGCGTTTCTTTGTCTGAACCAATGCTACTCCAAGAAAGAGGGGATCTTAAATGACACAAACCTACAAAATAATATTTACAGAAATCAATGAAAATTGTTTATTTTGTAAACAAACATTTGTCTGATCGTAAAAACACAATTTCGTGTGACTTGTCTTCGTGAAAACGGCACACACAGAACATGCTTTTGCCATAGCCGGTGCCAGGTGCAAAATTATTACATTTGTGTATGTTTCTGGAGTCAATTTGTCTCTTTGTGAAAATGGCAAAACCAGTTTTGCCCATGGTTTTGCCTTTTTTTGCCAATGCTTTATCTTTGGAAGACAACTTTGTCTCTTCGTGAAAATGTAAAAAATGCAGTTTAGATGAATTTTGCCCAATGGAGATCGTGATTTGGCTGATTTCAGTTGATTTGGTTTTAAAAAAATGATGATTTTTTAAAAGTTATCTAACCATGTCAAAAAGTACACCTCACAATTCTACACTTGAGGTACAAGGATGGTTTAAAAAAATTGATATCAAAGAAATATGAGAGTACATAAGGACTAGTGGGAGGCCGTCTTGCCTGTAAAGAGGTACATCACCAGTGACTGGGTCTGTACAAATGCAAATCTGCCCCCCTCCCCCAAATGACCTCGACATCGAATTAAAAATTTCAACAACTGTTCTGAAAAATGAGAAAGCTCCAAACCCACAGACCAATCCAAACATGAGCTCGCCGTATGCTCTCACCGCACAGAGCAATGATGAAGACATTAGGACAACTACTGTTGAAAAAAATTATTGGCAACAATTCGGAAAACATTCTTAGGTTTTGGGCCTTGGAAAACTCCAAACATTGTGGGAATCAATTCCCATTGGCCCAGGAGTCACGGTTCTGTTTAGAGTCAAGTCCTAATTTCCTATGGAAACAAAAAAGGATCAAAAGAAAGGTATTTAAACAAAAATCAGAAATCTTTTCGGACAAAAAAGTACCTCCATGAGTCTACAGCTTCCTCAAGCACTGGTCTGTTGACAAAAAATCTGGTCCAATTGAGCACATTTTTTTTTAAAAATGGAAGGATTTAGACGGGGATGAAATTGATCCCTGAACCTTTGCATCTGCAGCATGCTGGGAAGGGACTGCATCCGGGGCTGCAGCATGGCTCCACACTGGGGTTCGTCCCGTTGATCTGTGACCTCCCCCATGTCATGCCCGCCTCGAAGCTGCCCTTGATGGCAGCGATCTTCTCTAGAAGGCTCTTGTACTTGGGGTCGGCGCTGAGATCGTAGCGCTCGCCAGGGTCTTGGTCCAGGTTGAACAGCAGTGGGGGGTCATGGGGGGTAAGCTTTGCGCTGTCCCGGCAGTCATGGTCCCTGTTAGTGGACCCTGAGAGCTTGTTACCCCGAGTGAAGTAGTGGGCCTTGTACTGCTTGTAACGCACGGCGAATATGCCTAGCGTAGGGTTGGGATTTTCTGGGTAGTAAATAAAAGTTTCTCTTTGACTCTGAAATGAAGAAAAAGAGAAGAAAAATGATTAAACAACATCAGCATTTTGGTTTTGGGAGCGCTGACGGCTTGCAGAATGCAAATGTCACAGAACTGCCATAAAAACTGCTACAAAACTCTACATCTAGTACGAGGGCAAAAGTCAGTTTACACTTAGCAAATTTCGGTCTTGAAACACTCTCGCATATTCTACTAACCTAAAAACATTTTGCTCCAAATGCTTATTGAAAAACATTCCCATTTTTCTGCCAGGAACCCACCTGAATCAAACAAAAAGTTGCCAGTGGGCATGGATCAATAAATGAATTCCTTTTAAAGGATGTCTAAGCGAATAATCAATCCCTATTTGTTTTCCCTCCCAAAATGCTGCAAATTGCAAAGGAGAAGTTGTAAAGACTACATTTCCTCAGCCTGTCATAGGCAAAACAATTTGTTACCACTGCAAACTTACAGGCCTGTTATGAAACAAGATCTCAGACATGTCCACGCCATCCAACACCTTGCCTGCAGGCAGGGGAGCCCCTGTAAGGTTAGCTATAGTAGGCAGCAGGTCCAAGCTGCTTGCCAGCTCTCGGGTGCGGCCCGGCTGGATCTTCCCGGGCCATAGGGCTATTGCCGGAACCCTTTGACCTCCCTCGTAGGTTGTACCCTTACCGCACTTCAGGAGACCTGCGCTGCCCCCCCTGTTCTGGTTCAAGATACTTGGTCTGCAGTGATGATGGAAATCAACCAGTTAAAAGAATCTGTGTAATTTCCGGCAGAGTCCTGTTGCTGATTTTGAAACAATGGTCTCATCACATAATGGAAAATTCTAAAGGCCTTTTAAACTCAACCAGGGGTTCAAAATCTCACCCATGCAATAAAGCAGGGTTGAGATCAACCTGGGCTGATATCAATCTGGGGGGTAATTGCGGTTGGCCCCAGGTAAAAAATTTAGAGTAAAATCTAGTGTGAAACACAGCATGTTTCCACTCCCGCATCTACCCCGAGATTCGTCCTTTTTGAAAAAGACTTCAGAAAACCCTAATACTTTTATGACTGCAGTTGTGAAATTTCAGATCAGGACAAGGAAAGACGGTTCACTGTAGTCACCAACTGGAAAAAAATGAAAAAATTTACATGTTCACGTTTGCATATATATGTATCAGAAAAACATATACATGTATACACAAAAGGCTTCTGAAATTGTTTTGTGACCAGAATGACATCATTTACTAATTTGTACAAATCTGAAAGTCAGAGAAATAGGCTTATAAATTTTTTCTTTCAAACTCTCTTTCTCTCTATATTTAAGAATGACAATTTTCTACTGTATGTCAGATAAAAAAGTAACATTCTCCTTTTGATTCAGAACTTTGCCTTTCAAGCAAATTCAGAATGTGCGCATTGCAACTCAACCACAATTTACCCATTATCAGCTGTGAAGAACACAAAGGTCTTATCAGCTACTCCGCTGTCCTTTAGCTGCTGGACAACTTGACCAATGCTCCAGTCCAGCTCGGCCAGTGAGTCCCCAAATGTCCCCCTTGATGTGCTGTTCCGGAATGCTTTGCTGGCAAACTGTGGGTGGTGGGTGTGCTGGTAGGCATAGTATAGAAAGAAAGGCCGCCTGCTCTTAGCATTTGTGGCGATGTAATTCCTTGCGTGGTTGGTGTAACGCTGCTCTAGGGTCAGCAAGTCAGTCGGCTGCTCCACGATAGTGCCGTTGTGGAACAGCGGGCAGCTGGCGTACTCGGGGTCGCAGTCATTGAAGCAGTGGTCATGGGGGTAGAAGCAGACCGGGCAGGGGCACATGTCGTGGGAGTACGGTATCCCGTAATACTCGTCAAAGCCCTGATTAGTGGGTAGGTACTCGCCGTTTTGGCCGACGCCGAGATGCCACTTTCCGATGATTGCCGTACTGTAGTTCAGTGGCTTCAGCATGTCAGCAATAGTGACCTCATTGTGTTGTAGACCACCGGTGGAATCAGGGATGAATACCCCTGGCCATACACCTGACCGTGTCTGGTAGCGACCAGTCAATAAGGCAGCTCTATTAAATTAAAAAAAAAAGGAGTTCTTACAAAAGAATTTAAGAACGTTTAGGAAATCCTGTGTATGAACATCACATTTATCTCGGGCTACGACAGTAAATGCCAATGAACTAGAAATATTGGCAAACAATTAGGATTTGAAGGTTGTTCATCCCACACTGACTAATCATAATAATTTTTTACCTATGACCGATGCCCTTTTAAAACCATATTTGAGGTTTTTTTTTTTTTACAGTGTATAGGCCTAAGCCTCTAAATTTGACTTGTAATTTACAAAACAGTTCTCACATTAACCTAGAAATATTGGCAAATAAGAATTTGGATTAATAGAAGGTCATTCATCCTACACTAACCAATCATATTCATTTTTCTACAAATGAATGGCTGATACCCTTTTAAAACCATAGGCCTATTTGAGCAAGTTGAGGGTTATTTTATTCTTACACAAAAGTAGGCCTAGACCTATAGGCCTAATAAGCTTTCAAACTTGATTTGTATTTTACAAAACAGTTCTCACATCCTATACTTCGTACTTCCCTACCGTATCCAGAGAGACAGTTGAGACAGACAGATGCTTGGGGCATAGCAACCTCACCTCATAACCTCAACAACTTTACTTGGGCGTGTTTTGGACCTCTGTCGCCATAGTGACAGAAAGAGGTAGCTTTCAAAAGAGAGCCGTCCACAGCCCTACGTGTGGGGCAAGTTTTGGACCATGGCGTAGTACTACCTGGATGGACTGCAAACGGAAGACGCAACATAAAACTGCATGAACTGCAAACCAGATGCCGATAGCTGGTTCAAATTCGGTGTGACAGAAGTTGGATGGCCGTAGGTTTCAAGATCTCCGAATCCCAGGTCATCGGCAAACAAAATGACAATATTTGGCGGCGAAAGCTTCGCGCCATCACAAATTATTAAAGGAAATACGCCAAACAGAATGCACAGCTGAAGTGCACTTGGGGCTGCCATGTTTACTTGAAAGCATGTGATGCATTCCTGGTAACTATTGAACTCGCCCCTGGGCAACTCGCCCCACCAAAATCTTCGCTGCAATGAATTTAAGGGGCACACTACGTGGGGCGAGTTGACTATTCCCCTACAACTTACAACTGAGTTCATTGGACAATATCAGACCAATTCATCAGCACTAACCAATTGAATATTGTTTTAAATCAACACGTCTCCTCGCAACGTTACAACATTTTTCATTCCTTTCTCGTCTGCTGCTTGTTCTCTCTGCGTTGAAGGCCGGCCCCAATCGAACATAAACTTGGTGAACTGTGCGACAAACTGAAGGCAATATAGTAATTGGTGTGTAACTCGACCATAGTCAGGTTTGTGTTGCACACTTTCTGGGAACAAGGTCACAGGAACGGCTTGAATCGACAAATCCCGTGCGTCCAGGCCAGGCAGACTGGTACAGTGGTAGCTTACGTGGCTTTGCCTGTACTGTAGGCTGTACTGACGACATTGACTACAGACAGTCTGACGGTGGAGGTGGACTTCACGGTCAGAAAGTCAGGAACCTGTAGCTATTACTATGGAGGAAGATGACTTAGAGTTTACAACCAAAAAGAGGGTAAGCCAAAGTTGCTGACCATCCTCATGAACTAGGCCTACCCCCAGAACTGTGGGGTCTGACATGTGAGCGGGGTGGATGTCGGACCCCATGGTTCTGGGGGTAGGGTTGAGCATTCAGGTCGGGCCCAGAAATTTTGTTTTACTTGTGAAACGAAACCCTCAAGAGCTAGGCCCACAGCTACCTCACAGTTGCTCTCACTGGAAAATTTGATTAAAGAAGCAGAATTTGCAACACCAGTAATTTACCTGATAGGCTTGATTAAAAAACAGATAATGCTGTGACCCCATAAACAAAAAGACTTCAAGTCACATGGAGTATAGACTTGAATCAAGTCGGACTTACGTTGCTCTTCCCGTGTCAGCCATCCCTTCAGCTGGTACGCACCACACGGTCATCAGGCTCGGCCCGGCAGCTCGCATAACCCTTCATTTGATAGCTTTTATTGTACAACGTGTGCCATACGTCACCAGTCAGTAAGTCCGACTTGACGGATAAGCCAATCGAAAGTCCGACTTGACGGATAAGCCAATCGAACCCCCCCGTCGGTGATATTTAGTTATTCATAATTGCAACTGAATGACATGACCTTGCATCATGTATATGGAATTTCCACCAATCGAAGTAGTCAGACTTGTAGAATCGTTCATTATAATGCAGGTATGAACAACGTAAAATCATGTCCGGCAATGTGATTGGCTGCTACCACTGTTGGTAGATGAGCCCATTTGCTGTTTATAAATGGTTGGCAGATTTGTCAAGTCGGGATTTCTGAACTGAACTCCTAGTAATAAGTGGACACAAGAGGGCACGGAGCAAACAACGGCACCCAGTCTCGATATTCATCCAAAGTAGAAATGAAGATATCACAAAGATCCCGACATGAGTCAAGTCTACATGGACTAGTGACTTGCAGTTCTGCAAGTAGGCCCAGGCCTTTTCTATAGCATGGGACTAAAACTAAAATTAGGCCTAATACACTAGGCCTACCAATTGACATTTTCCCACTAAGATTAGGTTGCATCCATTTCTCACACTTATCCCTCGGTGTTTTTTGAGAAATGTAGGCCTATTTTGAAGTTCCGCAGAAAGTTTCCAGTACTGACCTCCCCGTTGGAACTTTTCATGCAACTTTTCTTTCATTTTCCTATCATAAATCCGTTTTCATTTTTTTTATATTTATGTAGGCCTACATGTACATTGCTGTGTCAATGACAAGAGTTACTTTTGGCAACAGCGTACACCATAATCTTTGTATACTTTACATTGATAGGATGCTAAGAAGGGACGAAGAGCAAGACAAGAGAGGCAAGAAGCAGTGGCCAGCAGCCAGCCCAATGGTGACATTGGTGGAGATGAATCAGCGGAGGGTATAGTCCCCGTATCGGAAAGAAATGGAAGCGTGAGTGACCAACCATAGTTCATCAACCCTAGCCCTTCCCAGTTCGGTCAGAATCTACTAAGAGGTTTTGGAGGATTTTGTAGGGTTGTGGACAAAATGAACCTACCTAGTATTGACCACTGTAACTTAATGTGGGACCTGACGGTGTCCTTTGAAAGTTTAAGTGCTAGACAGCGGTATCCTGGACAGTGGTGGATTCTGAATGAATCTGGAAGAACCCTAGCAAATTTCCCACAGACTAAGGATTAACTGCCCCAAATATGACAATAACATAAAAGATGTTTTTCAAGGATGTTGATGGCTTGAGTAGGTCATAAGTGTAAAGCCCAACTATCATTCTTTTAAATGGGACTTGGTGTCTCAAAACACATTCAACCAAAAAATGGTGTCATAGGTTTATTGCACAGTATAGGAAAGATTCCAAGCAAAAATACTCGGGCCAGAGATGTGATGAAATGATTTCATGAACTGATAATGTACATGACATCAAATTCACATGTATGGAATTCTTAGTGCTTAGACCTGTGCTCTTTCCCTATGGTGTAGGACACAGCAATTTCACATTCCCTGTTACAGTAATCAGACTGATGCAACCGTTAAATTTTTTGCAGCCCCGAGGCCCACCAAGTAGACCCAAGAGACGGCAAGGCGGCTGGGCTGATGATGCACCCAAAGCTGACAAGAAGCCGTAAGTAGCAAGTTAAATCAATCCAATATCTAATTGATCATGCACAGTTTAATTTACAATGTTTCAGTAGGAACATCAATGAGTAAAAAAATGGTGTAAGATATAATACATCATGACTAATTATCCTGAAGAGAAGGAAACAGGGATTCTGCATGAAAATATTTCAAGACCAAGGAGTTTGAGCTTAGACTTGTGCTTGGTTCGTCCTCTTGATTTTGCTGTGTACCCCTTGGTTTGGACCCTGCCACCCTCCCTTATTTTTGCATCTAGGTTTACCTTGTGCGTTGCATTGTTGTTTTATTGAGTGTCCCACATGTAAACCTCATTTATTTTGAAAGAAAAATGGTTTGTTGTTTTAAGAAACTGTGATAAATATGTGCTTCGTGCTGAGTTTTAAGTTGGGACTTTAACGAGTACGGTTTTTGTACATTCATGAATCATTGGAATCTCTGTTGTAGAATAGTCCAACACCCCAATCAGTTTTCCAAATGTAAAACCCCAAGATAAGAGGGAAACTAGCATATCCTTGCTATGAGTGCATTTGAGTACAGTTTCACCTGCTACTTTCTTGAATGAGGCTCGGGGCCTGACCTGAATGGTGCATCTCCAGAACTCGAGGTCACTGGTGTAGGGTGAGGGTTGGGAACCTCACTTGAGGCTCTACCCTGGGGATAGTCCAATGAGTGGTACTCAAATACATTCATTGCCACTGCATGTGTTGCCATCACACCCTTACTTTGCTGATTTGTTTTTACTGCTCGGCACGATGACCCTCTGTGAAGGTTGGGGACAGCCGATGAGCTGCAGTCCTTCTCTGAGTAAGTGCAGAGCCCGAGGGTATGGTTCAGGATTGAATCGGAATTCATAGTTTTCAAGCTGTGGGTAACTGTCCGCGTGGCATTAATGCTTGCCAAATTCGGTATTCAAAAATACCGGTTTGTTTTAGTTTTCCCATTGTGATGGGATCACACTAGATACCAAAACTCAGAAGACTTTATTTCCATTATTAGCCAGCTTTCATCCTGAATCATATCTTCCCTGGCTTTCCTTTCCTGGTGTGGCTGCACCCTGCTCCTTGTGTGATTTCAAAATTTGTCCAGATGTGCATGATACAACATAGTCCATCTAGGTTTCTCTTACTTTGATGCTGTTAAAAAACTGCACTTTTCAAATTAGCTTGAACTAGACTCCATGTGTCGTATTATACATGCTAGCACCGTCTTAAAATGTACACTAACCATTAGTACGTAAATCCAGAACTACTCAGTAGACAAATTCACATGTACGGTACTTGCACCTAATTAAAGCGTGTACATTTCACCATAGCTTTACGATTTCACCAAATAAGAAGGACTGATTGCCAACTATGAAGCTTTGTTTTTACATGTATGGCTTAGAGGAACTTTCCTCTTGAAAATCAGATTCAGTGTGACCATCTAATAATTATAATTTACTGTTATTGAAAAAAAAAACCATACAAATACCTGGAAAAAGGAAACTTGTGAGAGGTTAAGAAGACAGAAACTTCATTTCTGCCCTGCTTTGTTACTCTCTTGAATTAAGGTGTTTTTTCATACTCGCGCGGCTTTCCTTTGTGTGAGGTTTTTGTGTTTATTGGAGTTTGCTTTCCCTTCATTTGAACCAACTTTTTGCAGGGAATTGTTGAATTGCTGTGTTGTGTTTTTCATGCATCAATTATAAATCATTTGTGTGTTTTTACTCAATGTAATATAGTATCTTATTTTTGTTCAGTAGAGAGTTTAGAGTATATGGTGAAATTGCTTTCCCTTCACACAAATGTTCACATCATCTTATTTCCCTTTAGGCACTTTTCTTGCAACCTGTGTAAGTTTCACTGGAGTTGACAGGACAAATTTCCCAATCACAAATGAAGGGGTGGAGGGCTGCTTTACTTTGAATCACTGCTGCAAAGCTACTCGGGCTGAGGCTGACCTTTTGGCCTCACAAACAATTGTGAATATTTGATGTGCCTTTTTTTTAGCAGACAGAGTGACTCTCACGCACACGGCATGTGCACCACCATTTAGCGAGCACTTGATCTAGTCAAAAGCACATTCCCAAGGTGGTGTATAGTGGCTTGTTACAAGTGGCATTTGTGTGTTTCGTTTCTGCAGTGAGCGAGCACGAGCAGAGAGCCCAAAAAGGAGAGATGACTCAGATGACGGTAGGGCAGTGAATTTATTTCATATTTAATTGAAATCTTGGCACACACCTTACAATACACGTGTAGGGAGCCTGAGTTAGGTATTATGTTTTTTTTTTAGTCTTTTAAGTGGAGTGATTTTATGAGTGACCAATACTCTTCAAATGTGAATGAGATTTGTTTTGTGCTCTGACTTTTTTATATGTTCAACAGTATGCACTGTAGCTTTACATCTGTGGGCTAAAAACAGACACCGTCGTTATCTGTTCTAGTTGTCTGTAGACAAGTGGGTGGCTGTTCTAACTGGACACTTGAAACCAACACAAAGGCTGTGAATGAATGAAGATTAAACTTCTGATTATGTAAATAATCATTCATGTGTGCCCCGCACCTTCTATGTGTATTAAAGCCCGCACCTGGATGTATTATGTCATCAACATTGAGAGGTTGTGATGGAAAAACCTGTCACCTCTTGTCCGTACACAATGCCCTATCATACATTGATGCAAGTTCTAACATAATTATGTCGCAGGTGCTTAGCACAAGTGTACTGTTGATAATGGGTAGGTATAGCACAAAGACACTGGACCATTACAGAGCAGGAGGTTGACAGTGCAGAGTTTGCCCTTGTCTAACAAATGACCTACTTGGCCTAGAAATTCAGATTTGAACGCAAAATTCAGATTTGAATGCATTAGCTTCATCTCTAAAATGCAATCTCCAGATATTGGACAATCCTTAATAATGAAATCACAAAAGAGGCTTGTCATCCTCTATTGTTGTTCCTGTAAACCTATGAAGCTTTTTAATGGTGGATCAATATTCCTTTACAAAAAACGCCAAACAGAAGGTGTTCATTGCAGCTGAAGCCTTTAAAAAGCTGTTCCATCCTGCTGCAGACATTCCTGTGATACCAGACCTGGACGATGTCCAAGAGGAGGACATGGCCACCCAGATTGCAGCACCACCCAGCGTGCAAGTCAACCGAGTGGCTACCTACAGGGAGTTAGACAATGACCTGCTGAAGCATTCGCAACTACTCACACTGGTAGGAAGGCTTTCATTGTGCTATTGAATGCCACTGCGCTTGTTATTCCAATAGTTTTTGGGCCTTTACTTTTCAATGTGCCGATGAAATGTTAAAACGTCCTGTTTTTCTCATAATTCAGCACAGTTCAGTTTATTAGCCCTAACTGCTTGGGTATTGATTTGAATAGAAGGACTATGTACTGCAAAATAACAGACTACTACATGCTTCGTGTTGGCTCAAGTACCTTGTAATAAAAAGTACTAAAAGAACTCTACACCAGTTAACAGGAACACTGGTTTGCTGTGTACAAGTACTATTTTGTAGCCCTATGTGAAGTCAGGGTTGAAGGAATGGGCATAAATCTAATCCTTAAAAGTTTTAGGTAAACAAAGTATGTGATAGTGTAGTGAACAGCGGCATTAACAGAAGAAAGTTCCCTCAAAATATGGTAATGGCATTCGGCCTTTGGATGAGGAAGGGTGTTTCACTCAATTCTCTAGTGACATCCTGGGCTCAATATCATTAGCGTGGCTCAACAGCTGAAGGTAGCCTCCATCTGTTCCACAGCGACTGTTAAAGCGGTCAGCATGGCAAAAGGAACCTTGACACCTGAGGGAAAAGTTGCTTTAATCAGTGACGTAACAGTAGAACTCTCCGTACACCTGCAACTGTCAACTCATTCGAGTTGTGGGATGGTTTTTAATCAGCAGCATGATTTTCTGCTGTAGTGAGCAGGACTTTTGTGCTAACTGTTTAAGTAGTGCTATGAAATATGACCAAGGAAATTATCTGGATCAGGTAGAGAGACTCTTGAGGAGAACCGGAAATACCACTACATTAAAGACGATAAACTGTTGCATCTCATCAGAAACTCCAATACATTGGAATGATTGTCTTTCTCTCTTTGTTCACCCCACCACTCCCATCAGGATAACGACATAGACCTGAAGTTGTTAACCAAAGTTCTGTCGTCGGAGCAGGATGTGACGGAGGAGGACAAACCCTGGGACTGGGATCTCATCTTCACTGAGGTCTCCTCCGAGCTGCAGACTGAATGGGACAAACAGAACGCTGACATGGAGGAGAAGGGAAAGGCATAGCGGCCTGTGGGTGGCCTTCACAGAGTGGCTTCGGTGTGGACTCACAGTGGCCCCATTGTCAGATTGTAGCCTCATAGAGTGGCCTCACAGTGGTCCCCATGTCCTCATTGTCAGATTGTAGCCTCATAGAGTGGCCTCACAGTGGTCCCCATGTCCTCATTGTCAGATTGTAGCCTCATAGAGTGGCCTCACAGTGGTCCCCATGTCCTCATTGTCAGATTTTACCTTCATATATTGGCCTCACAGTGGGCTCATTGTAGCTTCACTGATCACATGACTGGCTCCTAGTGGCCTCATAGCAGCATCGTTCTAGCCTCACAGTTACCCCACAGTTACGCAGAGAAGCCTCATATTGTTCTTCTAGTGGTCTCACAATAGTCGGTTACAAACTAGAGCATTGGTTGGCTCATTGGTACTTTTTTATTTGGTATAAGGTGGGAGATATTTTACTACAGTGTACATATAAAAAGAGTAAAATTGTGAAATATGGATAATAGTTCAGATTTTTTCTTCATTGACCACAACCCTATTCATTCCCTTTGCATCCAGAGGGTGTGATAAATAACAGCCACCACTGATCATTGAGAGACAAGAAATAAGACCCGCTGACCTCATGCTAACCAAGAGAATTGGACAAGTTTCCTCTTGCTGCTGCTGCCTTTTCCTGATCTGGAAGAAATTACCCATTTTGGTTTGCTGCATGCAACAACATTTGGGAGTCACTTATTTTGGAGACAAGAACTGCCTGCTTATTTTCTGCCATTTTGAAATGGTGATGAACCAACACATTGTTTTGCAAAATCATCAAATGTTATTGTCATACCTGTGTCTTGGATACTGTCTATTCATTGGCCCAGAACGATCACATGACGATCACACTCACCGTGAGACATCATTGTGCTGAAAGCATGTGCATGAGACTGAAGAGCTTCAGGAAGTTCAAGGGCGACATTGTCGCTCATTTAGTCAGTTTTGCGCGGTACCCACGATACGTTTTGTGCGTACGTTACCAGGATATTTGATCAATGGTCGCGCTCTTATAACAGACTTGTTCCCGTCCCCATGGCGAATAAAGTAATGCAGGGAGCACCAACCAGACTACATGACGTGAACTTATACTCACTGGTACCCGCACTACTTTCATTAAACTTTACGCAAATAAAGAAAGTGAGGGAACGGTGTATATGCAGACGATATCATTTACGTCTTTTATGCTAATTATACAGTTTGACAGTAGGCCTATCGTCTGCTGAACTTCTGAAATTCAGAGCTCGTTCCTTTGGATAAATTCCTTAAGACTGTGGTATGACAAAACAATTGTTGACTGCTGTGGTGTGGGATATGACGTTTTGAACACCTGATGGGCGCATAGCGCTCTTGGCTTCGCCTCGGGGCACTGTGCATCCTTCGGGTGTTCAGAATGTCATATCCCACACCACAGCAGTCAAGAATTATTAAACATAAGACATCTAGTCTTGAATTCTATCGAAAACACATTGTTTTGCTACTCATCAAATGTTAATATCAGACTTCTAGTCTTGAATTCTTGTTTGGTCAGAACAATGATGTCATGCAAACATAACGTGGCCAAAGCAGAAACATGTTTCTGGCCATGGTCAAGGAGATGCACTTTTGACAGCATGAAATAAGACCCGTGTAGGCAGCCAGTGAAGTGTTGAGCCAACACTTGGTGGTGTTACACTCGATATAAAAACCCTCGCATGACCATCATAGGATATGTAAAAGTTACTCGGATGAGCTGCACCAAGAACTATTCCCAGTTCACTGCTCACACTGTTTCTTGTAGTTAGTCCTGTGTCTGGTCATGTGATAGTCTTCTTTACAACCTTGTATTTTCAGTGGTGTCCAGTGAACTACTGTCAAATTGTATGTACAGAAATAGTGTATTCTGTATCATATTTTAACATATTTGTAGGTGATTTAATTAAATTGTATCAGCGCGTGAGGAATGTTATTCTTTGAGCATGCTGTTGTTTTGGTTGATGTTTCAACTGCATGTGCATGTAAAAGGTTTGCAAATACTATCAAAATGTCGACTTGTGAGACATTTTGAGATGTGGTCTTTTTAATACTTGTTTGGTTTCTATTGTGGGTGCTTATCTGCCTCTAACACATTGAAGCATGAAAATTGACAACTGTCAGTGGTCTAAAATGGGGGGAAAAAGGCATATTTTCATTGAATTCTTTCAATGTTCTTCACTGCTTGAAGCCGTGGGCTGGCCTTTACTGTACGGGACAATTCTGTCAGGAAAATTGCAACTGAGCCGTGGGGACAAAAATGTTTGCGGTCCCCAGATTCAAAATTTCAGTATGAGTAATGCCCTCAACTATACTGGGCCCAATTTCATGAGGGTAATTCTTGAAGAAATGAATTAACAACCGACTCCAAAATAAACTTTGACAAAAGACGACAGATCTTAAACTTGTTCGATTGGCCAGTATTCCGGCCAATCAAATCGCTCACTCTCTCACACTCTCTTTTATTTGGCCAATCATTTTTTTTAACTGCCATGCAGGATATTACAAAGAATGAATCCTCAAAGTCGAGTCAGATGATAAACACAGATCACAATCCGACATGTCTACTCCAAAAAAAAAAGGAATGATGATAATATAACATACATTTGATTGACCAAATACATTAGCAGCCCTTCAATACATTATTTTTTTCAGGACTCCCACAAAATACGAAGTCCCACAATTATATTAATAGTTTGTGAATTGTATACTATATTGCAAATTGCAAGCTCCGTCAAAAGCAATTCTACTTCATCTCTACATCGGGTACTGTACAATCAACTACTTTTTTCTCAACCTCCAACAAAGGTAAACAATTTTTTTCCCCCTTTAAAGGAGTGCAGGTATATGTTCTGCAAGTTGAGAGACACGGTGAAAATTTTATTAAAATGGCCCCAGAAACAAATCTGTCCTCTGTCCACACGAGCAGTTTCCTAACCCTTTGAAAAAAAAAAAAAACAGTCTGATGACTGGACACGCCAGCAATGGTCTTCATGTTCATTGGCACTTTTTTAAAATCATACCCAACATCTCCCAACTTGTAAAAATTCATTTAATACACTTTGTAACAAAACTTCTCCGAGTCCCACGCGTGCCTGCATTGGGGATGCAAAGGAGCCACTTTCAAAACAAGAATTGTCACTAGATCTAACCCTCATCCTAACTCTCAACAGGCCAAGTGCATTAGGGTTGGTCTCATGATTTCAGCACCACTCCCTTCTTAAGTACATAGGGCAATCCAATTCAAACAGATACTACAGGCATCTTGGGTGCAGCAGTGATAAAAAAAAAAACAAGTTTTGATTACAACACTTTGAAAGAGAAAAGGAAAAAAAAAATTATATACATAAAACTGTATACACCGTCTCTGCTGTGGGGAATCATGAAACCGAGGGGAGGGGGTTGTTATGATGGTCCCCATACAAGGTTCCTTGACAACTACTGTCTTAACGCAGGGAACCGGTGAAGCATTCCAAGATTTCCCCAAATCTGAGTCTACCTTTCGGGAAGTCGCACGTACTTCAGCATTCATGTTTCACATGAGATGTGATCTCGACACAGGAGTAAATTTGCATCCCCTGGCCCTCTGGTTCATGATTCCCAAATAAGGTACTGCTTGTAAGGAAAAAAAACCTTCAATAAAAGGCAGCGGTATATAAACAAATTGTGACATTAATTTGTACAAATTCATGTGTATGTTAGTAGGAAGTATTCAGGATGAAAATTCACTATCTCCACTCGGTCTACCGATTAGGCTTCAAAAGGTGTTCTTCACAAAGTTTTAAAAGATGTTGATCACAGACAAAGACAACCAACAGTCAATTAAAAAACAAACCAAAAACACAAATAAAACATTACACCATATTGCTCAATTGCTTTTGTGCAAAATGAAACAAACTGGAAGCTTTCTTTGTTTTAAATCGAAAGTGGTGCGCAGATGCCGAGATATATACTATTTTCAATATGGTGTGACTCAAAATGAACACCGTTCGGACCCATGTACTATTTCCAGTAGCCACCATCAGTTGTAGCTTGGCAAGTCAAATAAATCAACATCAAAATATAGCGGTCCACCACAGGGGAAACCCCAGGGTGATTAAACAAGGTACAGGTATTTTTCTTTTCTTATAGACTATACTCAAAAGATCTGAGAACAGCCTTGATATGCTGGGAACAGCAATGACGACGGCTCTACATATTAAAACAAAATCCATCTATTTTTACCGTCTGCAGCGCCATAGCCTTGCTACTGCCTTGCCGTATGTCTCAACAACCTACATGAGATACACCAAAGGAAAGGTTGAATCCATCTCACTTAACTTTAGTTTATCTGTTTCTGATTTGTAAGCAAGGAATATCTTGCATGAATACAGTGGCGACGAACAAAAACAGTAAACAAAATCTATGTAGTCATTTCCGATTCCCCAAGTTTACTTCCCGTTCACAGGTTTGAACCACCACCAGATCTTGAAACAATGAATTTTTTAACTTGATTCAACAAATGCAACGAGTCTGTACAACCCATTTGCTTTGAAACTCAACTTTAAGTTCACGCTCTCAGGTACTCCTATGTACACGGAAATGCAACATTTAATACAACGTGCCGGGTGAAAACAACATTATTTCAAATTTCTGAAAGTAGGTAGAGTGAACACGGAAAAAGTGTCCAGATTTACAAACTGTTCTGCCGAGAAGAGTTTGCAGATAGGCCTGTGACAGTCCCTGGTATTACATATTAGCTCTACTTTGGCACTTTGCAAAGTAACAAACGTTCCATTCAAGTCGGGTCATGTGCAAGGCAGGTCATGAGGGAGTCTACTCTCTCTGTATGGTCTCACAACTCAACAGATGAGTAGACTATCAATGTTGTAGTCGAGTCCATCACAAGTCACCCAGTCTGAAGTCTGAGTCACAAGCTATTCAAATGAACTAAAGACACAGGCTTCCCTGTTGTCCTTCATCCTTTTACTTGTGAGTGGCCTTTGGAAATGACGTGATGGACTCGACCAAGTCGCTGCTTGTTCATTTCTCCACCCCTATCCATTTGCAAAAGGAGAACAGAATAAAAGAAACAAAAAAAAAACACCAACTAAAATACGTATGAGGTAACACCAGTTAATATTAAACCCAACACTTGCCATGTTATTGCTGGTAGCTCTTTGTAAGTTTTCCTAAAAGATTCTGGACTGGAACTGTATTTCCCATTCAGCAAATAGTTCTGACACTTTTGTCTTTCCGTTGCATCCTAATGGCAACGGACAAAATAAGTATTTTGTCCATTGTCATATCAGCACCAGATATTACATTTACTGTGCCATTCAGAAGTTGATATTCTGGGTTAAAACAAAACAAAGGACAGAGATGGCGTTGAGCAAACGACCCCACTCAATGCTTGAATGCCATGAATAGTGCTGATGTGCTTGTGAGTTGTCTCTTTTTTGAATCCATACATTAACAGTGCTACTGTAAACAACTACAAGAATCGGTTATGTGAGGAAGAGCCCTGATGTTTGGACAGAAGAAACACAAACCTTACTACACAAGTAAAGATACACCACACTAAAATCATCCTCAAAAAACTAAACGGACCATCAAACGAATGGCTTCTTTTCTCAGAGAGGCCAATTTACAAATCTGTCAACAATAATTCCATTCAAGGCTGAAATGTTCCAGGTTAATTACAATGAACTGTACAGACTGAGTACAACTGCTGATGTGTGATGCTTCTCTGCATTTGGAAAAAAAAGTTCCAACTTCATCTGCCTATTTCACTTTCACTTTGAAGCAAAACATTTATTTGGAATAAGGCCTAAGTTTTAGGCTTCTTTAAAATTACACTGGATTCTGTTTTTCAACAGCATACTTCTTGAGCATAAGAATTTCGGACCAAAATAGGGAAATGATTTACAAGCCCATACATGTGGGACTTCCACCCGCAACACCACACTTTAAAAGGCCAATTCATACCCCAGGCAAATGACAATTTTGCAAATTGCAGTGTGAACATCTGATCTGTTGTCACCAAAGTGTGTTTGTATTCACTTTGCTCTATGAACTGGCTCAGGGCAATAGTGGGTTTGCATGACTGCCATCTTGCAGGCCGAAGCTTTTGTTTCATAGAGTACGCACAAACGGGGTTTCCCTGTGGAACAAAAGAACTGCCATGCAAGATGGTTACCATGCAAAAACCTCTACAGACATCTGTAATGATGATCCCACACTGTTTCTGTGTGTTCTTCCTGTGGTGCTCAGTGGTCGACGGGCCTCCACCAGCTCCATAAGTAGGCGCACATGTAATCAAAGTGAGACAGCACCAGTGTAGAGGCCTATTCCACAGGAGCTCTACGCATGACATTTGCTTACACAGTCACAGGTTGCCAGGTATTGTTTCTGGCTGGTTCCCTGCCAGTTGTTGCCTTGCGTGAGAATTTTGACCAGAACTCTATTTCTGTTAAACAGCTCCGTGAAACTGAGCCCAAGTATTTTAAAGCTTTACACTGTGTCATCTGGGACGGTGCAGAAGTTTGGTCAGTTCATTTCTGGGCAGCTAAATATCAAATAATCTCTTTGGGGGGGGGGATAGAAATGTATTACAAAACAAAAGCGTCCACTGGTTGCAGTGTGAATTCAGTCTCACTACTCCAGTCACCAAATATTCATTTGTAAATACAAGTTTTGCACTTCATGTAAAACAGGACCCTTCACTGAACAGTTACATATGGAGTGTTGTGGGACTTTAGTTGTGCCATAAAGAATGCCTTAAATATGTAAATGTTCAGATGCCATCAGAAGAGAGAAGTCTGAAGTTCTTGCGTGGAATAATGCACATTTTTAAGTACTAAAATGCAGAGAGTAAAATGTAAATTACTGCCGCTTCAACTGACATCACTAACGAAAGTCTACCGGGCCCCCACGACAAATGAATAAAAACCTGTCTACAGTAAGTGTTAGTAATTTGATAAGCACCAGCACGTATGGCTTCAAAACTCTGCAGTTTCTAACTCCTTGATCAACACTTTAAATGTGTCCCTTAACACAATGTTTGCCCTGGTCAGGTGTAGGAATTATATCCATTCAAAGCAGTGGGATGAACAATGAACCAATTAAAGTAAAAAGTCATGTCAAGTAGAGGCCATTTCTGGTCAGACTCGTGACCAAAGTGGCTCAGTTTCTTTCTGATCTAGGTTTGTGTAGCTACATTTAACGCACAGTGGTGGAACAGAGTTTGTTTTCTCGCTCGAAATGCATCCCGTTGTGTTAATCATTTATTTCCAACCAGTTTGTCCTTAAAAAAAAACTTCACTGTGGTCCAAAGAGTAACAGACTGGTTGTACACAAAGTGTTCGACGACATACAATGGCAGAGAGGAGGAGTGCCTACATTACATCCACACACAACTGTGTTTTGTGGACCACAACGGTGACCTCTTTCGAAATAAACAATAAGGGTAGGAAAAAGCAGGCATGGCACTTGAAAACACTGAAAAATTCTGAAGGATAAACAGATATCAAAACAAAACATTTACATACAGGTGTAAAAAAAAAATGAGTTGATTTTGTCTTGAGATGGACAATAACAATTCTACGACCAGGCTTTTAACACTTTCAGTTTTCTAGGAAGCACATTTAGTAAAGAAAAAAAAAATTGCTTTTCTTAACAATCTATTCTGTTTTGCCCACTTTTATCAAAAAATATTTTGAAACAAATAATATCCTGTCAGATCAATCGGTTGATCAAAATATCAGTCTAGCTTGTTTCAACATCAGTCTAGCTTGTTTGGTTTTCCTTTTTGACATTTCGAACATAGATGTCCAATAAAGTCACGGGAAATAAACGATGCTGTTTATCTCCTTTTTGTGGATATATTAGATTTCATAAATATGAACAAACGAAATTACAGGCCTTTGGCTGGAAAGTTACATTTCGGCCAAAGTTCGCATAAAATAAGCCCAACTCTGTCTCCACAATACTACAAATTTCCTCTCCTTTTTAACATTTGAAACAGCAAGGAAATTGTTGATGAAATTTTTGTCTCTTTCTGGTCGTACATTTAATAAGGTCCCATCCGGTATCTTGATACGGCCTCATAATACGTATCTGTATTGACTAGCCGATGCAGTGAATGACGGTGCATGCCATTATGTGCCAAAATGCACTGGTTTCAATGTCTCCAATGAGTATGGCACCCTCATCATTTGCCTTTTCCTCGTCATAAGACCACTTTCTGGGGGTCTTACGCTGCGTCCAAATCACTTGGCTGCGGCTTGGAATCACACACGACTCAATGGAAACCAGCTACGGCCACTACCATAGACCCGTGTGTTAGTTCTAGCCGTAGCCAAGGAATTTGGACACAGCCTTACATTCAGTGATTCTGAAATGACTATCACGCAACCATGCATTGCACCTACATGTAAACCGATACAAAGCCCGCTTTTTGCTAAACACCAAACCACAATGTCTAGGTGAGTCCATTCGCTGTGACAATGTGCCCAGTCTCTCTGTGGGGGGGGGATTTTATGTTTGGCTGTCGTTGCACTATGCAAACACCTAATGAAATCGCTACACTGATATCAATAAATGTTGATTGCATTTTTGTGACAGGCCAAGATCTCTTTGCCGTGGTAGCAAAAAAAAAACTGAGCGAGTGCAGACTGGAAAGTGAGTGCAAACTCACAAATGAGCACATCATTGAGTCCAAACTCATGAATGAGTTTTGACCACAACTCGCACATGGAAACAGGTTGCTTAAAGGTGAAAGTGGCCATGCATCCATCGTACCCAACTTCAAGAGGGCTTGTGAGAACTCTCTACACATGGAAGAATCTGGCACAAGCAGGGCACAACTTATCAGAAATGGTTAGCATGCAGCACTGGTGTCAAGGAACGGCTCCTGTGCAGATCTCGTGCAACCACATGATAAAAATTTGGATCTTACACTCTATTGTGTTTAGCAAGACATTTTCCCTTGAAGCAACTTTGAGCAGCCAATGGACTTTACAGGTACATGGCTTCCTGACTTCAGCCCGGAAAGTGATAAGTTCCTACAACGCTCCCAGGTTACGTCCGTTGACTATCAGCATAAAATGCCAGGTTTTATTGGTTCAAAGACGTCAGCCGCACAAGATAGTTTGTGTATCAATACAAAATGTGCAAAAGGGGTGACAAGGCGTCAGGTTCCACAGAAAAGATTCTGTGACACTTGGGGGAAAAAAAAAGTGGACAGGCACAGCAAGCGAATGGGTCTCTTCCTGCAACTATCTCTTCAGTTGGCCTTTGTGAAAGCGAGTGCCCAATGTCAAAAAATGACGAAGTGCGTTGGAAAAGAGTAAAGGGGGGGGGAATGGAGAAGGCAAATTTGGGAGGAGGTTGGGTGGGTGGCGGTGGAACTGTCGCTAGTTGACCATGAGGGTGTGGGACTCAATGGGTGCTGCTGAGTCGTAGAGTGTGTCCGTGTCCTTGGTGGGTTCTCCAGCCAGTTGGCACTGGAGGGACAGGGTACCAGCACCGCAATCACAGAAAAACCTGTCATGAGGAAAAACAAACAGCCGGGAAAAAAAAAAAAAGGATTTTAGTAATATATAATATACAGACAATAATGAACACTACTTAATTGACGGTGCATGTTAGAGTGTTTCTAGACAATCCCAGTAAGTCTGGTAAATACCTGCCTACATCAGGGGCCAATTTCATAGAGCTCCTTAAGAGCAGAATTTGCTTAAGCACAACAAACCTTGCTTAAAACAAAGATTACCAGCTCAAATTCAATGTGATCATCATGCTCACCAAAAGTCAGGTGAATACCATTCCAAACCAATATACACCACATGGAGTTTTGGCTGGTAACCTGATTTGTCAAGCAAGGTTTTTTCACCCTTAAGCAAATTTTGTGCTTAAGCAGCTCTATGAAATTGGCCCCAGCTGCTGTTTACTGAATAGGTGGATATTCACTGGTGACAAGTGCAACATGTTGTTCAGTGAAGTTAAATTTAAGTAATAAATATGTCCAAAATGTAAAATATCTTGAAATACTTAAAGCTGACTCTCGGGCAATCTTTCCTTTGCCAGTTACCTACACAAACGCTTTCAATCGATAATTTTACATGTGACTCAACCCGCCAAAACGAATCGAAAGTCATCCGTGCTACTAAAGAATTAAAAGCCTTTAACAACAAGAACAAATTTTGCACAGCTGAAATAAATGGAGACCATCCGTGCTAATCGACTGGGTACACTGAAATATTTATTTTCATCAGGATGGCAGATGGAGCAATACGTCAAACCGAGGAGTTTCCTATGCTCTGTCTATTGTAAAACAAAGCACAAGTGGAAAGTAAGTGTAAGACTGGTTTTGTGAAATCAAGTCACCTTTCTGGCTACGAGGCAGCATCTTGGTGGGATTCACACCTTGCAGTCATAGAGATACTTGAAAATAAAATCCCCATTCACTTTCTGTTCTTCTTACCTGTCGTGCGTGACAAACTCCACATCATGGCCTGAATGGCATCGTCTGATGCAGTTGACACAGATGGCATTACGGTCCGTCGTGTTGCACGTTTTGCACCTGTTACCCGCACAAACGAGGAAACACATTATCATGAAAACCAGCACGATGCACGTTACAATGGTACTCCCTTTCAAACACAGGAAGAAAATCTGTTGAGGATAGATTTTGTTTTCTTTGACCATCCTCTCAGAGTCAGCAGCAGAAAAATGTTGTTTGAGTGAGCCTGTTTGGTTATTTCAAACAGCCAAGATCATTTGAGAACAGAGCACCTGAGCCCGTGCCACTTTCAATTTGTTCAGTGCTTGTGGGCTGGCAAACAGCCACTGATCGGGCTGACCCCGCACAGGCTGATATTCCTGAACGAGCTACGCCGTGCTACATTTTCAGCCCCTGCTGTTGAAAATAACAAACAGGCATGTTCTCGTTTAGCATAACAGGATGACTGGCCTGTAAAAGTCGTGCATAGGGTAGCTGGTGTAACTGGAGATCTTGTAGAGGCAACGGCCGCACTTGACTGCCTTCTCTATGGCGTTCTTGTTACCGTGGACCTTGTTATCTGCACAGAGAACAAAAACCACCCATGTTAACAGTCAGGGATCTGCTGCCAGTTTAATGGACCTCCTTAGCATAGTTTTTGACTCAGGAAAATAATGCTTTGTGCAAACAGGTTGCTTGCAAAAGTACTTCATTATGTTGCTCATCACTAGATCTTTGCTGTCTGTTTGCAGTAATTTCTGTTGGCTCAGTTAATGGAGCTATGATGTTCAGGGAAGGGCATTCCAACATCGAGCTCTGATTACAGTAAATGACAATTAAGCATGCTTAGAGGGAATGTGGTTATACGGTTAACTGTTAGGTTTTTCGAACCCAAGATGATCAATTTGCAAGCATGCAAAAATGAAAGGGACAGAAAGATTGTAGCACTCTTACTTGAAATGGTCAAAGGAAAAAGACCCAATAGATAACGCAATATAAGCGGCACAGAGAACAGTATGGGTTTTCAACTAAACTCAACTCTGTTATACCGTCTGCTTAGTGAATTAATGAAATCAAGCCATGTGTAACTACGTCCTAAGCAAATCCAATCCTAACTGGGGGACCAAATGATGCATTTGTGCCAATTCAGAGGAAAAGTCCCTTCTTTGTCCTCTGCACCATTTGCATTCACAAAACATTGGGCATACAAACGTCCTTCCCTAGCTTTCACAACTAAATCTTCACTTTCCTTATGGCAACAAGTTTCCCCCAGTAAATCTACATTTTAGGTTCTAGTGACAGGTTCCTCCGGAACCTCTGAAGGTAGAACTCTGATCCCCACCCACCTTTCATTTCTGGGTTGACGCCCGTGGCCAGGCAGATGCCGGCAAACTTATTGTTGAAGACGTGGTTGCCCTCCAGGTAGGCCGTGGCGTTGTTGGTGATCTCGATGCCCGCCGCCAGCCCGTCATAGATCTTGTTGCGCTTGAGCTTGGGGTGGCTCTGGGAGCTGATCAGGACCCCCGCCTGGGTGTTGCGGAAGATCTCATTCTCCTCCAGCAAGCCTTTATGTTTGGGGAGGGACGGCACAGAATGCGGTAATAAGTAGTTAGCGCATATTTAGTAAAGAGCAAACTGAGCGATTTTTAATGGATTTTTCTGTTAAGGCATCCCGACGGAAACGGATATCGCATGGGTGAGAAATGTGGAGGGTTTCTATTGATTTACATTGTGCAAGATTCTCTTAACCCTAACCCCCCTAGGCTTTTTTTGCTGGACACCATCCCCAGTCCTCCAAAATCCTCCAAAACCACCCAGAAGATTTTTGGAGGATTGAGGAGGGTTATGCTTGTAATTTACAGGAAGGAAGGCTTGGATAAGCTGCTTAGTGATGGCGATGTTGCAAGGCAGGTGTTGGGGGCAGTCCAAACCTTCCAGCTGGAATGTTGGATGTGGCACGGCGTGATGCTCGGGGGGTGATAACAGTAAGAGTGCACAGTTTTCAGAGGACCAAGAGTGAGACACTGAGATGTAACAATAGACCGATCCAGTAAGCCTCGCCCACTGTGCACATGGGCACTGAACACGTTCTTTTCCAATGCTCCACCGCATGCTCCAACCTTTTGGGCAGCATACACGTGTGTGGACACAAATCACGGTTGTGATTAGTCAGAATATAATGGGGTGGGGCTGAATGGATCAGTCAATTCATCAATGTACCAATCAAGAAGCAAGACTGCCATGATGCAGTCCAGTGATACAATGTTCGAGGTCAGGATACTCTAAGCCTATCCACTCACCCCTTTCTCTGTTGGAGAGTGATATAACATTCCAGAGCAGGAGAGTCTAGGCCTATCTACTCATCCCTTCCTCCATTGGAGACTGACACAACGTTCTAGGCCAGGATAGTCTAGGCCTATCTACTCACCCCTTCCTCCGTTGAAGATGCAGATTCCCCCATCCCTTCCATCATGTATCTTGTTGTACTGCAAGTGAGGATTGCTATCTGTCTTAATCCACACCCCTGCCATGGCGTTGTCAAAAATCTCATTATACTCCAGTACGCCAAGACCTGAAAAACAAGTTTTCACAGTCAATAATATAAACTATTCAAAAAAAGTTGAGGTCTAAGGCTGTGCCGAATATCTGAATAACTGAATATTCGATCGATTGTTGAATATTCGAACATTATTTTTGGATTTTGAATATTTGAATGCAAAATTCATGAAAAGGGAGGGAGAATTTTTTTTTTGTTTTAAATGAGAAAAATTGCACTATGGAGGCTTGCTCCAAGAAGATTCAAATGATAAGCGATAGAAACCTTACAGCGATTCAAAATGTACATTATTCATTAAAAAATTAAAAGGAAGATACGCTTTCAACAGGAAAAGAAGTATTAATTATCTCTTAAATCTTGCTAAATTGTGGCTGGAGATACCTCACAGACATGAGAAGCTATTATAGTGAGTATAATGTACAACTGTGTGTTATTGCAACTGATTTTGTGTATGGTTTGTTCCGTAACAATCTTCCAGTCGGTAAGACCGAATACTCGGATATTCGATCCAATTGAAGGTCGAATGTTCGAACAGTGAATTATTAAAATCGACTCAGACCTATTGAGGTTCACTTTTTTATTTTGTGTATACTTTTTTGTATGAGATACTTTACAGCTGAAAATGTGGATTTGATGTTTTGAAACATTTAAAAATTTTGATTCCAATGAGAACACAATCTAGACAAACACAAAATGAAAGAACTACACCCCACTCATTGCTTAGAAAAAATTACAAGTTAAGAAAAAAATAGGTCCTTAACTTTTTTTGAGTAGTATAAAACACATCCATCTACCACAGAAGACTACATAAATTGCATTCTTGCAATGCCGTGACAAGGTCAGGGCATTGCAAGAGTGCATCTACATGTAGGTGACTGATGCCATCTTTAACGTTTTAGCAATTGTGTGGGTGTAGGCAGCAGTTAATCTGGGGTCTACTTGAGTGGAATTCATGCAAGTCACCGACAAAAATCAATGGCGTCCTTGGTACACCTTAACTTTTGCTGCGAGGTTTACTTGAAATACAAGCTGGCATGCCTCTGCAGTCATAACAGATGGGATACATATGAAAAAAAAACACTTGACAAGAGTTTGAAAGAAAGCTGTGCTTCTTAAGGTAGCCGTTGTACGCTTATTACAGTATCGGCCAAACAAAAAATCCTGGCCCAAGGTCAAAGACTTTCCTCAAACATCCGACTGCCCCCCTCCTATTATCCAATTCCTCACTTGCCAAATTAACCTTCACTTAGGCATGCTCAGAGCAGCAAGATTCCACATAATTCAAATTGCACATTTGGTTGGTGCTTCCCAGATCAAAATATCAACAATAATGACCAGGTCTAGACAAAAAACAGTTACTGTCTGAGCGATGTTTTTATATCTCAGTGAAATATCTGTGCAAGCTCGAAAGCTTGCCTGATCATACTTGTAAGAAATCATACTTTGTGCACTGTCCCACTGGTCTGAAGACTTCAAGCACGGAATAACTACAAGATCACATCAACAGAAACAGAGCAAACATTCCAAGCGCTACCTCCATTATACACCAGGATGCCGCCGTTCTGACCGCCCCAGATCTTGTTGCGCCGGATGATGGGGTTACTGCCTGTCCGGATCTGCACCCCCGAGTACATATGGTTGAAGATGTCATTGTCCTCCAAGGTGCCGTGGCCATTGTCGTAGAAGTACACTCCAACCTATAGGAACAAATAGAGGGAAGTCAGCAACGTGCGTTCGTGTCGAGTCGACCCCGTCATTAAGCATGTGATGTACATGTACCATCAAATTTGGGGGTTAACTTTTTTAGTCGAAAAGGAAAAAAACCCTTGCCCAAGATAAATGAAGATGGGGTCCAGCAGGAACATATCAGTGAGGATGCGGCCAAAATTTTCATTTCAAACAAGCTTTGGGTCAAGTAAGTGATCACGTGAGGTTTCACAACGCATTTTATTAAAATTCACGGGAGGGGGTTAACTTGGAACTTTTTCTCCAGTTCAAGCACTCCGTCACTGTTGACTAAGAGAGATACCGCACCCATTTCAATGGCAACTGTCCCCCAACTGAGCTAGCCAAAGCTTAAACGTGAACATTCCCCGGGTGGGGTTGCAGCACACTGCACAAGCCACCTGATCAAGGTCAGTCTATGTCTTAGAAAACGAGTCCTAAGGAACAGGGACACACACTGTTGGGTTGCCTGACCTGTTTGCCGCTGTGTATTCTGTTCCGTCTGAGCTCCGGGCAGCTACCTGTCGTCACCCACACCCCGGCCAGTGTGTTGCTGTATACCTCATTCTCAATTATCAATCCTTTGCCCTTTTCGTGCTAAACACACACAAGCAACCACAAAGACACAAAAATCACATTTTGGGGGGAAGTCAAAGGGTACTCCCATTTCCCACTTTAATCTCTAATGCACATCTATTTAATCATGTCTTCCTCTCTTTAGAGTTTGCAGCAGGCACTCTGAGGGTGTGGAGTACCATCAAAAACTAGAACTAAGTACCTGACAGCGAGGTCTAATACGACAGTTTGAGCTTTTCAAATAACCAAGGTCTTTCCAGGAACAAAGTGCGTGTGTGAGCTCGAAAATGGCTGCACTGACAGGACAGACTATCGAGTGCGCGTGCTGCTGTTTCCGAATAGCCTCGTACTGAGCATGTGCTGTTGGAATACTGGCTCATTACAACAAATGTATCTTGCATGTTTGACCGTCTCAGGTGCTTGAAACTGGGACTTCACATTAAATCATTTATTTGGAAAAAGACTACGAAAGGAACTTTAAACTGTGGCTTCAGGCCTTTCTTTTGTTTGTCAGGAATATCAAGTAGAGCAAGCCTTAATCACGTTGGTTAAAACTTCTCAGCGTTCTTCAGGTCACAACATTCTCATGGAAACACACAGGTTTTTCTCAGCCTTGGGTCAAATTGCTTGACAACAGTCCTTCCTCAATTTACATTTCAACTCGGTCACATTAAGGTTTTCTCAATTTTGTAGAAAATTCCACCGTGTTGCGCAGTGCTGCTCATCTGAATTACATAGACTTTCCACAAAGTGTTCTCCAAGTGGACAAACATACTTCAAGTACGCACTCCGTGCAATTGTAGACTGGCGCTACTCACCACATAAATACCACCGTGCTGTCCGTCGTGAATACGGTTCCCCCTGATGATTGGATTACTGTTGGTTCGGATTTGGATGCCAGCCAGCGCATTACTGTGGATGTCGTTATTCTCTATCAAGCCCCGCCCCTCCCCAAATATGTACACCCCACCCTGATGCCCGTTGAAAATCTCGTTGCCCCTGTGAAAAGCAGAACAGCAAACAGAAAGTAGTATTAATATTTTCTTTCTTAAATTTAACTGATACTGCAAATGAAAGTGATAGAAAATTCAACTCTGACCATCGTTCAAGGTGTTTATTATCCTCTCTTTTCTGGATGACTACATGACATATTCTCAGAAATTCTTTTTAAAAGCAAACACTTTAACCAGCCTTATGGAGCTGATGAAGAATGATTCTGTCTTGATTCAAGGTGGAGGAAAATGGTTTAAATGCTTCAATTTTTATGCTGGTTATTCCACAAAATTCCAAGGACTATACTTACTTTCGTTTATATTTCACTTCTATTTTAGTTATGTTTTTATCTCAACCGTTAACACTGCTGCATTTTGTACAACAGACAGACTGAACCTTTACAAAAAATCCCCCTTTCTTCTATGGGCCTCAAGCTGGACCAAAATATGGTGCAATTTTTTAAAGTAATGGAAGCCCCTTCGGTCAGAACAGAACTTTGCTGATTTACGAAAGACTGGGATATACACACGTCATGGTTGCATCGCTATCAACAAAATGAACACTCCCGAACAACGTGGCTCACTCCAACCATTGAGGGGGATGCTTCTGCTCGAGGCGGATTCAGTCTTGCCTTCGAACTGTAATTAACCTAGCAATTCTCCATTAAAAAGAAACACATTTGGAAATGAATTTTGAGGGAAAAATGTGCGCACCTGATGGTGGGGTCGCTGTTTGATGTGACCCACACACCGGCAAATGTGTTGGAGTGGATCTTGTTCTCCAGGAATTCCCCCCTGCCGTTCTCGTGGACGTAGATGCCCCCCGTCTGGCCATGGTGGATCTCGCAGTGGACCACCGTGGGGTTGGCCCCCGCCTTGACCTCAAAGCCGGCTATCCGGTTGTGGTGGATGTCGCACCTGTCAAAGTGACCCTGCGTGACCAATCGGCAAAACCAACTAAAGTGACTGCGTACTGTCGGTAGAATTGAGTGTTTCAAGAAGGACTTTGTGGAAGTAAGCAGCAGATGGTTGCGTAGCTTCTAAGCTACTCACTTTCTGGGAGCTATGTCTCTGCCATCTTTAGCACTGCAAGTCATAGTCCTTTTGACAGACATTTCCTGTAAAGCTCAATTACAGAATCTCAGCAAAATGTGAGGCCATTTGTGAAAACCCTTCACCTGGTGAAAATGCTAGATATCAGTGAAGCGGTCTTCAAGTCTCCTGTTTTCACATTGGAGGAGCCTTTTCAAAACCACATCTTAAACTGTGTGTAGTGATTGCTGAAAACTTTGAAAACAGCTTTTCTGCTGTATGACCAATGCCTGCGTGAAATTTTTCAACACATGGAGGGTTTCCACAGGTTACATCACAAATGTCTAGGAATGAAGCCTGGAATTAAGAATATTTATTTTCAAAGCACATCTGAGCAAAAATGATTTTTTTCAACCTGTGCAAGGCATGAGCTGCTGATCAGGATTGATCAAGCATTACACCACTGATCTGCCCGGCCTGACATAATGCCATTTTTTTTCGACTGCCAACCAGTGAGTCAACTCACCATGCCGTTGTCGAAAGTGAAGACGCCCACGTCCCTACCGTGGTGGATATGACACCGTCTGATGAGGGGATTGGCGTGGTTCTTGACCCAGATGCCCGCCAGGGCATTGCCGCTGATTTCACAGTCCATGTAGTGACCCTGGGAGACACACACACACACAAAAATAATCATCTCCAACCTGCTCATGAATGGTACACGCACATCTGATTTGATGTGCAGTTGATGGGATAATTAACTCTGTGTCTGAACAACAGAGGGTGCTATGCACCTTAGCAACCAGCAAGGCCAAATGTCACCGAACTATTGCAAAGCAAATATTGATGATAACAATTTGACTGCGAGAAATATTAATATATACCTACTTTTGCCCTTACACCGATGTATCCATTCCAACTTTATTCTTGATGTGGGCCATGAGTGAAAAAAATACACCACCACAAGTTTGCTTGGGTGTGTTTCAAACCCACGCCTTCCTGATTACTAGTGCAAACGCTTTAACTGCCGAGTTTGCCAGGATTAGGTGCCTGGCTTGAATCCAATGCAGCAGCAGGAGCCATAAGCAGTCAACAATATCTGCTTGGCTGTAAGTGAGGGAAAACACTGCTAAGAAAATGAACGTGCTGAGCAAAAATTTGGCTGAGGACCAGTCACAAGAGACATGCAGTGCAGGACTATTTTGGCTGGCAACCAGCTTTTACTTAGCAGGCATCTGTGCTTAACAGCTCTACGGCTTCATCTGAATCTGCTGTCCAGATCTCAGTCTAGAGCCACGTTCCCATTGGATCTTCCATGGGCACACAGAAACTTACCGCGACATTTCTTCGTGTCAATCTGCCGCGCATTCCCATGTGGACTTTTTCAACCGTAACGGAATGTTTATTTGCTGTGTTAGGCCTAGTAAGACCAGCTGATTACATGTACCTTGCCTGCACTGTACAAATCATGACAAAATCAGCAAAATCTGACAGAAGCAAAGACAAAATCAGACAAATTCTGCCAAATCTGACACAAACCCGTACACGAAAAGCCCCGTGCACAACGTGTGTATAGCTCTATCTGTACTGTTCACATGGAGCTGAAGACTGGGAACCATACAACCATTTTCGCGTGTCTGCTATCCATCTCTGTGTAGGCAGTAGTCCGGTTCGTATGTTTAGTGTGGTCGCGGTCAATCTACAGTATTTCAGAACTGTTCTCATTGGACTTTTTTGCACCCCTGCTAACTTATCGTGGCTGCGTAGAAATCTTCCGCAACCCTTTTCAGCCTATTAGTTTTACATCGCAATCACGGTAAACTGACAGGGACGTTAGTCTGCCTTGTTTTCCCATTGGATTTAATTTTGTAATCCTACAGGAAAGTCGCAGTAAGTTAACCCAAATCAGTCATTCAATTCTATCTCATACCTGGGCGTGGTCATTGATGAACAGTCCAACGTTCTCACAGTCGCTGATGACGCAATTCTTGACGGTGGGTGCTGCATTCTTGCCACTGACGCTTACAGCTGCACCAACTGGAAAATGATCAGCAAGACATGAGAGGGTCAACGGACAGTTGGAAATTCTAATTCCAGGAGGGAGGGCTTGCGACCAGAAATCATCGGTTTTCTTACAGAAAGTTTAAAATGGGAGAAAGTGCACTTAATAAGAGGCTTTAGCAAAGCAAAAGCATGCCCAATCCACAGAGGTAACAAGGTATTTGTGGGCTGTAGAGGGGCCATGGACATGAACCATCGATACAGACCCCCACTGACCTTGGGGGAGCACAGGGCATTTTTAGTTCCTCGGGAAAGAGGATCTGTGGCAGTGGGATCAATTTCCGTTAATTTAAAGAGTACAAAAAGCTTTTATTTGCCAGGAAGCATGGGGACAAGGACGGTGCCAAGAGTCAGGGTGAGGGGTTAATAGCAAAAAACGCTTGTACCCCTTGCTCTACCTTGTGAGCGACTGCGGATGTTGCAGCTGTCGATGATGGGCGAGCAGCAAGAGCCCACTTCCACGCAGGAGTGCTTGTGGTGGGGGGTGTTGGACTGGTGGTCAGGGTTAAACTGCAGCAGAAAACGTAATGGAGAAAATGCCAAAATAATAATGGTGTATTAGTGTTGTCGTCTAGAAGGTGTCCCAAAGCACATGTACAAGTACAAAAACTTGTTATTGTCTGGAAGGTTTTTCTGAAGCAATGTGTTAAGTACAAAAACTCAGGCGAGTCTAAGCACAAGTATTTTTTCAAGAGTATGAGTACAAGTACTTGAGTGCAAACTTGTACGAATACTCTAACAAAGTTATGTAAAGATAACTACTTCTTTTACCTTCCAAGGCCCAATGAGATGCCAATCAAATGAGACAACACAAAACCCTTTAAATCAAGTTTTTCCTCAAGAGTAGAATTACACTCCATGGCACTTATATACATCATCCCTTCTGCTTTGCAGCCCACAATGTTAAGCAGCACTTGAACAAGCTGAACTTTTCTTCTGATTCCTAAATCATCATTCCAAAACTAGACCATTTCTTGGATTCATCTCACAAACTACACCCACTGTTTCCTTTCAAATTCTGCAAGAAGAGGTTTCTGGCAATAGAAAAAACCCCAGCTCAGTATACGCAAAGGTCAAATTTGAAAAAAAAAATTAAAAAGGAAGCGTGGTAAGAAAAACACTGGTTACACTTACCCTAATGCTGATATGTCCTAAGTAGGCATCCTCACAGCCTTCGAAGAAGACGAATGTTGACTCCTTGAAGTTTTCTACGATGACACTGTCTGGAATATGACCAGGCGCTGTAGACAAAGGAAAGTTCTAGAACTTAACATTTATCACTTGAGCTCACTCGAGCCCACATAGAATGTCTCTGTCCATGTTACTTGATAAAGAAAAATTTTGTTACATTGGGTATTCTGCCCTACACTGACATATACTTTATACATTGAGTAGTGTGATCCAAGGGCTTGTGATAAAACCACAAGCTTACTTAGGTGGGACTCAAACCCACAACCTCCTGTTTACCAGTGCAGGTGTCTTACTATTCAACTACCAAACTTGCGGGGGGCAGCAGGCCAGTCTTAGTCAGATAAGCTGAAAGTAACATTTTACAAGATGTAATTTCTGCACTGGAAAAAATGTTGGTCATTCAAAATCTGGTGAAAGATATTTGATGACATCTTTCCCCCACAACTGGCACCAGCTGCTACTGCGCTAAGCAGGTAACTTGTAGGAGTACTTGATAGGAGGCTTTCTGCCCGCCCCTCCCCATTGTGTAGCAAAAGACATCTTGCACCTAAACTAAGACGTTCACTGTATGTCCTTTCTGAAACATTACAGAGTGTCAGTCTTCAAGACATTTAGCAGGTACCAGGGGTCTGTGGAAAAATTCTCTACCGACTCTCCGGTCGGCTATTTTGTTAAAGGCATTAAGAACCTCAAGTGGAGAAAGGGTCACTGGCTATGTACAGAGTCACAGCCTCCATCATTTGCTTACCAGCACCAAGTATGCACACCGGCGTGTCAATGTACAGCCACTCTCCGCTGTACACCCCAGCATGTAGTAGGATTAGTGGGTAATCGTTCCCTTCCACCGATGACAAAGCCTCCTCTATCGTGTCGTAATACTGGATATTTCTCCCCCTGTACATCTCTCTGTTTTCGTAGACGCGGCGTGCATGGCCCGGCTTTACGTGAACCGCATTGTACTGCGAGCAGAATTGATTGTAAAAATGTTACTGACAAATGTAGACACAAATGCCTGCTTGACGGTGTTTGTGCATTTAAATACTCCCACATGCACACCTGTTATGGTGAATTGTAACACCAAATGAAAAATGATGATGACTTTATAACATTATCTTTTTCTTCAAGTTCATCAATTTATCCGGTCAATGTGGCCAGACTGTTGCCTGTAAATCTGTGGAGAATTGAAAAATTCTACGAGCGCTTACAAATCGTGCATAATACAAACCATGTTGGTAGTATTCATTAAGTAAGTACAAGGCCTACGCACATGTAGATGTGGGAATTCACTCAGAGGGGATGCATGGCTCCTTATTCTAAAAACTGAATTGTTGAGAAGCTTACAATGAGAAGAAAATTGTATAGAAATAAATTTAGTTGTGAAAATGATCAAAAACAGCTTACTAGTGTTTTGAAGCTCTCCTTCCAGATGTTGGGGGAGTCCACCTTGTCTGGCTGGACGAACTTAAACCTTGTTGGTGCTGGGCGCAGCAAAGGCAGCGACATCTCATATACTGACTGGTACATCTTTTTCCTGTATTATTTCAGACAGAAAGGGGAACAAGTTAAAACTACGAAGTTATTCACTGTACAAAAAGGAAAACGGGTGAACGTACATCTACTTGGGAGCTTGGAGGTCTAGTGCTGCTCTTTAACAGTAGCCAGGCTGGTTGTATTTGAATATGAATATGAGCATGAACGGGAAATCATGACATCATGAAATACATTTGCATCCCAAAGTGAGCATATTTAACAAGGAGCTATTTGACTGTGAAATGTTCCACTATGAAGTAGAAATTTGCTCCGTATGTGGGAATATACATGAAAAATGAACCTTTAGTTGGAAAACTTTACAAAGTGTTGCGCATAAATCATAAAATTGCCGACAATATTTTGTGTCTTAAAGGTAGTAAACACCATTGGTTTTTGTCATAATTTCACAACATTAGCTGATTACGGTGTATAACATTCACTGCAACATACATTCCACTGATATGTTTCATGTTTGAGTCAACTGCTTTGTGAAAAATCGAGAAAAACAGTGGTTACTTTCAATGATTAAATCGAAGATCTTGTAATTTATCTTGTGTAAAGTCTAAGCATTACAGGGCATTCATAGTATACGGTAAGCGAACAACATCTGTGAGGTCAGGTGGATAACAGGCATGAAATTCTCTTTAAAAAGGAACAGTTTTTTGACGGCTAGGAGCAATCGGTGAATTTACCTTGAAGTAATGCGCCTCTTTGACAATGTACTCATAGCATTGCGGATTCATGAAAAAACTTCATCCAGGAATGCTGTCCGTGAAACTGAAACGAGTAGGCCTATAATGATAATGTACATGCGCGCACAATTGTGCTTTATGACCACACTTTCACGTCAGTTTCCACGTCAATGAAAGTCTAAAAAATCCATTGTTAGTTGATTCAATGATAACTACATGTATAAGCAAAGAAGAAATTAGGTCTTAGAACACAAGTATCATAGTTTTTGTCAACGAAAATCCCTTTCACCAGGCTGCTCGGAAACAGCCGCCATATTTGGATCATACCATCATGCTCCAGGGGAGATTATGAATTTGCAAAGTTTTCGTGGTAAGACAATCCTTTCCTCAAAAAATATTTAACTTCACACTGATCCAATTTATTTTCTAGTTTACACCTTGCACTCAGGTTCCTATAATTTCAGTTTACAATGCTTTTGGAGAATTTCTGTCAGTATATATTTCAGCTGCTGTTAGGTTTATCTATTCATTAACGGAGACTCCCACGACATCTACAAACACAAAAAAATTGGCGCCTGTTAAAAGACTGTGATGTGCAAAATATGAACTCCTATACAATGGTCGGACAACCATCGTCAAAAAAAAAGAGAACAAAATTTCTGTTTCCCGAAAACTACAGCATTCTGGGAAGAAGTATTTTACAGATTGATTGAGGCTGTTACATGTACATGTGTATGTACCAATACTTTCTTTCAAGTAAGATACTTCAGAATTATACAGTAGTCTGATATGGGGGGGTTATCATTGGTGTACACTACCTTTAAATCCAATCAAATATGACTTCATAGGCCTTGCTGACTAGTTCTTTGCTGAATAGTTTTATAGAGTTTCAACCACTCATTCACACTAGAAAGACCCAATGGTACAAATATGTACCTATTATTAATGCTATTAAAAAATCAGACCTTTTGAATTTGATTTCCCCAGCACATTCAAATTTTTTAACACTGGATCAATGGTCCAACAAATTGAATGGAAAGTTGCTACCCGCATCACGCTAATCCACTGAGATACTTCAAAATTTTCATGAAAAATGAGAAACTTGAATACAGTCGGCAATGCAAATTTGCATTGTGCACACAGAGCTTATTTATTGTGAGAGACGAAATAAGAATCTCTGACACAGAAATTAATTCATGACATGTACAGCGTCTGGAAACAAAGGTTTGTCAATCTGAAGAGATTCCAAACTTTAAGGGTTTGGAGGATCACTCATATGACGGACGTGCTGTTCATCTTGCCTGTCAGTTTCTGAAGGCTTAAAAGATGGATGACCAGCCGTTTCCCAGACTGGGCAGGATGTAGTCGCACCAGAAGACCATCAATCAATCATACAGGGGAAACCCCGGCTCAGGGCAGAGGGAGGGAAGGACCAACAAACACGGGGAGCATCCCGCTAGCAGTCAATACAGGGGGAAATCACCGGCCAGGATTGACAGAGAGGCAGGACAGACCAGTTACGCTGACAAATCGTTCAACGACCACAGTTAGTAACTCTAACGGACACTGTCCCTGGAGACTAAACAGATGAGACACAAGTTTGTTTCCTGCACACTTGGGCCACACCTGTGGTCACAGAAAACAATATGGGTCATTCTGTGTCAAAATCCCCTGTAGGTACATGTAAGTCTTCCAAATCAGTCTACCTGATTAACTCCAAAATGTACACATACTGCTTTATCTCTTTTCCTTTCCCCCGTCCCACTTTGGAAGAAAGCGGGAAAAGTAAACAGAATTTTATTTTTAAAACAAGATACAGCTTTTAGAGAAAAACAGAGTGCATGGGCTATTTCAAATGGGACATAAAGCTCTCTCAGTTTTGCAATTTCTGTGCTTTGTTTGGTTTGAAGCACATTTATTTACAGCTTTTCTTCTGTTTATTGTCATACTCTATCGGTATAGCAAACTGCACTGTATGACTTGTTCAAGTATTTGGTTTGGCATCAACTGCATGGTAGCCATGACAAAGTGGAAAGATGAATTTCACAAAATTCCTTAGGGGCGAAACGTAACTCAAAATTTTCTGAAACTCCAGACAATTAAAGGTGCAGAAAAGTCGTTGACTGCACTGTTTCAGGCCATGGAAATTTTGTGAGTGCTACATCTGTGTTTCATGGGTCTGCAAGATAAACACAGTGTTTATTGTATCGGTACACATGCACCATATGTACATGCACTTGGCTTGTTTTCGCTAAACCTCATTGGCATATTAAAGATCTTTGATGCATGGTACGTGTAACTTACACTGGCAGGTTACTATATTGGCAGCTACTTGACCCAGCATGAATGTCAACCATGATTATGAAATATTGTACACTGGGCATGCCAAATCTTGAGAAGTCTTGTCAAAACGTTTTTGAGGCATTTCTTAGTAATAGAAGGTACACAGGTCAATAATTTGTGCCCTAACAAACAAGGATGTGGGCGGAAGCCATTGCCATTTTCGGATTATAAGGTCATTCCTGCTGTACTGTTTTCAAGAAACAAGTCCTGGTCAGGGTTCAAGTGAAAAGAGGGGCAAACCTTCTGACACAAGTATCCAGTCCCTCCTATGACTGTCCATTTGCAGCCTGCCAAATCAGTGGTACGTGTTCACTGCCTCTCACCACCAACTGTGTAGACAATCCCCCCCCCAACCAGGAAACTGACTTCATGACTGACAAGTCGGGCCTGACCTCGGTCTACCCACTGAAGTCACTGGTCATACCGGTACATGGAATCATCTGGCCGATGGGAATCAGTCAAACACACAAAAAAAAAACCAAATGGCAGAATCGGACAATATGCAAAACAGACTGGCGCACACTGGATGGTACAAGCAGTTTTGATGCACAGTACATTGCACAGTGGGCATGCGTATGTAGGATATTTCAAACACCACGTCTAAAGTGCCGGGGGCATGACATGCCCAATGCCAGACAAGAACTTTTAGCTAAGGACAGAGTCACCCAAGGGGCTACCTGGGCAAGCCATGTGAGGGTAGAGAGGGATACAGGGAGAACCTCAAAGTACAGTAACCATCCAAATTACGGCAGGAAATCGACGCCAGCTCTCCCTCAAATTGAGTCAATCAATGACTTCCTTAAAGACAATTTGCGGTACATTCTCCACTGGTACATTCTTCGCTCCATGCAAGTATTTCGGGACCATTCCCAAATGGCAAGTTCCCCCCCCATGATTGCACATGAGGTACTTCCTCCTGAAAGCCCACACCCTCCCCTAATATGTAAAAAAAAACAAAAGAAAAGAAACGAAAAAGCCTTACCACCATTACAGTCCTCAATCCTCCAATTTCAATATGATTTTACAACACCCTAGGGGGTTGGGATTAATCTTACGACATTTCCCATCAGTTTAAAAAAGGAAAGATCTGTGCTACGTCGAAAATTTGAACTACATGTAGACTTTCTGCACTTACTGGAATGAAAATAATGCTCTTTACGCATTTTGGTCAAATGCCGAAGAGAATAGTTGAATCTCGATAAAAAGCTCGGTTCAAACAAACTGCTGCTTTAAAGAACACATTTTGGGGCGACCCAATCTCCTGAACTGTTTGCTTTTCATTGTTGTCGGTTTTTTTCCAGTCCTTTTATACCGGTACATTTAGAACAAGGTCTGGTTTGAACAAAGCAAAGTTTGGCTAATTCCTGCAACCTTGTTATGATTAGAGTTGAATGCAACCCCAAGAGTGCATTGTCTTTTTGAGTGCAACTTTCTCCTCCCCTCCCATCCACCCCAAAACACCTGCTTTTGCACATTTTTGACAGGTTTGGTTCTGCAGAGTCCAGTCATAATCTTCTTGACACTTTGATCTTTCCAACACAAGTTTAAAAAAATTCCACAGTTCCATAAAAAGTCGATTGCTGAGCTGGTCCATCTGGTACACATGTGCAGCAAAAGGAAAGTGTTGCACTATATACTACAAACTAATCCGGGCACCAGCCTTCGGTCAAGGCAATCACCACACTTACTGGATTTCAGTCTATGGTTGACCAGTGTGCAATCTGATTCACAACTGCAATGACTACCTTCACTATAAGAATATAATATCGAATCAGTGCTCTGAAATACATGTATGTGATTGCCGAGCTTTCAGAATCTGCTGGCCCTGAAGAAGGTACTCAGTTACCGAAAGCTCGGCAATCACATATTTCAGAGCACTGATTTGATATTATATTCTTGTCGATATTCTGATCACGGTGCTACGCAGCCCTTCCATATTTCTCTCATTTACTATAAGCTCCCTTTTCTGTTCATTGGCTTTTTAAAATACTTTTGCTACTGATTTGTGTGGCAAAAATAATATTCCAACAGAGAAGACGTTATCTTGTTTCAACAAATAAGATGGCAGAAATACTGAAAGGAGCTAGCAGTGATCTGGCATTTGCACGGATGATACACATTGGTGCGGATGACACACAGCCTGCTATGCTGCATAATTGATCTGAAGGGGTCTACAAGTACATGTACACAAAGTACCCTAATTCCTATGGTACCATTACTGGACTACAGCATTCAACATGAAGACTCACAAAATAAATAGGTAGCCGCATTTTTTCAGCAGCAGGTTGTGAAAAGCACCCACTGGTCTTTTGTTAAGAGAGAGATATATATATATATATATGCCTGGGCTATTTTCACTGCCATCTTATTAACTATTACGGCCACCTGGCCACAAGATCACGTGCGCAGGCAGTGGCCTCGATTTGACTGTGTGGTGGCAAAGAGCTGTAGGTTGGGCTCAAGTAATATCAGAAATCTTTGCATGAGAAGCTTGCCGTCTTACCATACTGTGGGGTCCCCTGCTAACGTGTTGAACCGCTTGCAGACGCACAGCACGTTGCACAAGTCCTTCTCCAGCAGGTAGGAGAAGATCTTGAGCAGGATTTCAGATGGGACATGATACTGGAGGAAGTTGTCTTCGGGATTGGACACTGTCGAGGGAGATATGCCAAAAGAGTCTCCGTCAGTGATGCAACCTCACATTGAACAAAACATCCATGGTTTACTCTATGTATTCACAGTGAAACGTTTCAGTGGACGAACAGTCAAATGTAAATACACAGAGCGTAAAATTATGGTCCAAGTTTGGACATTTTCTGACAACTTTTGGCATTTGTACGACCAAAAGCAGATGTGGTTGGGCAGCATGTTCAAAGGAAATCTAGAAGGTGAAAAGCCCAACAGTAAAATCTTGTAGGGGTTTGACTCTGGCTTTTGTGCTTGTGAATTTAAACTTTGTCAGTGTTTCATAGTAATGCCATGCTGGTACTGTACGTGTATGTCTGATCAAAAGCTAAGCGGCAGAAACAAAAACTGATTGAACTGGCAAGCCTACTGATGTGTTCTGTCCCACTACTTGTCTGGCCTAATTTCACGGACTGCATAAGAAATCATATAACAGTAAAACGATACGAAAACAACTGAAGGAAACAATAAGAAACAAGTCACTGAGATCAAATTTACACTAAGACCTTATCTCCATACACGTTTAGCGTACATGTATACCCGTGCGTAAATAAATGAAATGACTCCCACTTTCATAACAGTTCTCCTGGCAGAGTACCAATTTATCAGTGTGAAATTCTGAGTCACATCTTTTCAAAGCAACATCCTGGGTGACTATATTTAATAAATGTCAAACTTATCCAAGAGCATTTCTTTCCCTCTTCCCATCTTCCAGGCACAACATGTCGCTTGTACATTCTCCTCTCCCCTCCCACCAGTTTCAGACAAATTTCATCCCAAATGTCAACCTGACATAACCAAACAGTCGTGCCAATATGAGGATGAACTCCTGGAGATTAAAAATCAATCTTGAATTTTGTTCAGCTGTCACGCATTTCGCTGATTCAGTAATACACTAAAGATAATATATCTGCTATGCCAACCATGCTCCAACAACAATACACATAATCTTTTCCAGGAACCTCGGAAGGGAGTCGGACTGGATTACGAAACTTTCCAATTTACACAGTTTGAGTTTGGACAGAGATCCTTGAATCAGTCATCAGACAGGATAGTTAAAATTGTACATTTTAGAGCTTTCAATGGCTAATGAAATGAATATTTAGACTGCACTCACTTTTTGTGAACAGAAAGTACAAAATGCAGCAAAACCTAAATTCAACCTCTAAAGTTCTCTCACTTAACCTTGAAATCCAGACAAAATCCTGAGAAATCCCATACCTGGTAAAAGCTAACGAGATGTCAGTATGTTTGAAAAAAAAATCCTTTATCTAACCTCCAGTTTTTCCCTTCTAAGTATGTTTGCATAAGCAGGTTTACATTGAACCCCAAATCCCCTATGCATTTCGCTAACACCCTGCAGCATTAAGGACAAATGAAGTGTGAAAACAGAAAAGTACCCAACATCTGGATTCAACATACATGTATCGCACATCCACAACTGGGATCAACCTGATCCACGCTGTTGGATCATGTTTGGCTAGGCAGGGTTCAGGTTATTAAGACCTGCCACCACTGCAAGTAATCAATGATGCATGGCGTTTCCTCCTGTTCCTGTTCACGCCACGGAACATGTACATGTACTTGGAAAAGTTATTTGAACAAGTAAGTGGGCACAGTCTATGCATGGAGGACGGGACAGACCATTCCTTCCTCCATGGTCAATGCTACATGTAGATAGGTTATAACAGTATCTGTTAATGTGGTCTTGTGGTATCTTGGATGTCTTGTAATGTCTTGCACATCATGAATAGATCAGATAAGATGATCTTCAAATGCTCAATGTTAATTAGTGCTATGGTTTACAGTGTAAATAATTTCATTGACGGCGACGGACTTAATGGTCCATTCCGTCAGTACATTCCACTGTCACTTGATACGAGTCATTCTATTGCACAAATGTGAAACATTCATAACGTACTTTGTATACAACACCTGTATGCATGAATTATCTGATTGTATACTTGCTGACAGTTACGACAATTTATATAACGGGTTTTGCCCTTACCCAACATATATATTGATAAACACTATATGCTCAGTGCTTGTCCGAGAGCTTGCGAAAAAATTCACAAGCTTACTCGGGTGGGACTCGAACCCACGACCTCCTGCTTACTTACTCGTGGGTAAGCACTAAGCATACAGTGTTTATCAATATATATGTTGGGTAAGGGCAAAACCCGTTGTATAAATTAACATCTCCCCAATGCAAAATACATCTTGAAATAGTTACAGCAATATTGTAAACAGGTGGCACAGCAAGTACTACTATTCAAGCAAATTTGAATTCTCAATTCTGATTGGTTGACCCCTGGCAACAACCAGTGTGATACACAACCGTATTGTATAGTTCATGTCAAACGCCGCATAATGTGCTATTCTAACTCTGCGCATTGTGCTATTTTTATGCTGACAGCAAAACGCAAAGGTGGCAAGTATGCGCATAGGCCCCTATAACATCTTTACGTTTGCTTGAAGATAAATTGTGGAAAAACGGAAAAAAGTAGAGTAATATACGGGGCCAAAGGCCGAGTGGTATACAGGACACAGATGCACTTCATTATTCCATGTTCCACTCGCACTCATGTGATAACTAATAATGTATGCTTATTGACAGAGTGTACTTATTGGCTTGACTTGGCTTCAACATTTTTCCTTCACACTCACAGTTTACACTCTGGGCAGCCTGGTGGTGGGTGAGCCGCGATCTCTTGGCCTTGGACGCGGACACACTGATGGAAGTGGTACCTGAGGATGAGCCGGCCAGGATACCCTGTTGGGGGAGGGAACAAACAAAACCGTGAACACTTTAAGGAGTGAAAGGTTACTGACCTGCTCAGGGGGAAGGGGACAAGGGCTACACTTGAGTGGGGGGGGGATATGGGTAAGAATCAAGGACGATGACCTTTGAGCTATCACCCGACCAAGCTCCCTAAGTACTGCGTAAAAGACAGCAGGCGCTGAGGGGTTTAGGACCATCGGGATAATGTGCTTGCTGCAGGGAGGGTGATGGTTGGGTTAAAGGGGATAACGACCCTGCGACATTATCAAAGATGCAAGGGGGTGGGAAATATAATGTATGGCTTCACACTGCATGCAGCATTCAACCCACATACACATACACTTATAATTAGAACATCAGGAAAATTACATCCAATGACTTGAATATCTGCCGTCACTTTCTTTGCGAAAAGAGTGTCTAACCCCCCCCCATTGTGCAAATTCAATATGAGATTCAAGCAATTGGTGCTGAAGCATCTCAGTATCAGGGGAGATACAGCACAGCGGCAAAACTAGAGACAGTTGAATACAAGTACCCTCGTGTATGACCGGCCTAAACTGGCAAAAAGCAGATTGGTGGAAAAGGTGGCTGTGGCAGAATACACAAGTGTGGCATTTAACAGGACAACATCTATTAATGGTTACAGAGAAGGGGGTTACCCTAACTGGACAGAGTTCCCAATCATCACCAGCCGGCAACCTACATGTACATGTATGTGAGGTCAGAGGGTAATAACCCTACAGGCCTCATGGGGGAGGATAGGATTGGCGAATGCTCTCCTGGAGAACAGGGATGCCCAAAATTTGATCAATGCCTGGCTGGATCTGGGCAGCGTCAGATTCCAAACGCCCACTCTGACTCTCAGCTTACATGTATGGGTACATGTAGGTGTAGTTTCTTATGGACAATGGCATTTGTTCCAGCCAAACATCAGCCCCCATTTGGGTGTGCGTGGATGCACGGGAAATAGAAATCTCAACACCTCTCTTTGCTGCCTTTGCCGTTGACAAATTTGCAGGCTCACATTTTCAACGAAAACTGTAAAAACTGCAAAAACTGTCCTCAAAGTTAACCATGTCCATGTACATGTGTTAACCTGCTTAACCCCTTTACGCCGGGAGGCGGCTAGACACGCCATGAAATTGAGATCCTCAGCACGCTTTTCAGCTATTATTCTCGGCCCACGCTCGAGTTAACACGGTGAAAGAAGGCAGACCCTGGCTCTTGTATATATGGTACCTGGTCTTTGTGTGTAGCCCAGAAATGAAAAGACCGAATTTGCATCATAATCACAATAGTCCCCACTTTGAAAAGAGGCAACGGCAATGTGGAAGCGTGAGTAGAGCCGCATGCCACCAAACAATCAGCCTGTGTGATTCAAAGCGTGCAGAGCACGCAGGGCCACAAACCGAGAATTTGCAGTTTGGCAGGTGGCCTTCGTGGCCATGCGAGGCTGGAATTCTTGGAGTCGGCTTTCGGGAAGAAACTCCCGTCGTCAAGGGGTTAACACGTGTAGCTTTCAACAGGAATGCATAATTAACACTGTCTTCTTTTGAACCTTTACTCTACCAAGTACAAATAAATACTTGTACATACATGAACAGTAGAGTAACTGATATTGTAAGCCGCAGAAATGTTTGAATTCCAGAAACCACTTAAGTACATGTACATATATCGATAGTTCTCTGCACTTGTATAAGAATTTCAAAACTGAAGGAAAAAAATTGAGACTGAATATTTTTTTTTAATTTGATCAAGTTGTTACAAATTTAAAGAAAAGACACGGTCGCCTGTCTGACATGTGTTTTTCGCTGACCAAAAGTGTACATGTTTGGACCATGCTTGAACAGAACAATTGAAGGATATGAAGGATATTTGAATACTGAATGTGCAAAAAATCCAGCCAGCATGTAAAAAGAATAAGTGATCAAATTGCATTGGAGTGAATTGTCTTTTCTTATTTTTTATCACGACAAAGATTCCGCCACTGATCTACAGGTCTCACATTTGTGTCTACTCAAAGACAAATGCTAGGCTGATGGCATTGGCTGGTTCATAACAACAAATATATGGCAATACAGGGCAAAAAATTAATGAGTGCAGGTGGCTAAAATGCACCCGTTTATCTGCGAAATGCACCTGTAAATCACAATGACAGGCGCAGGTACTTAGGCCTGTTTGATTCCATGTACCTGAACATTTTTACCGTTTGTATCTACTTTTGTCATAAAAAATACCTGAACTTTAATTGTACTTCGGATCGGCCATGTCACGGAACCATAACACAGTACAATTTTGTTTACGATGTCACGTGACATCAACGAGCACACACCACAGTCTCGCATGCGATGCATGCACACACGTGAATGTACACACACATACCTGCTGCCAACCAGTGTCACTATCTCGCTGAATGATCTGCACAGTGGCCGAGTCTGAATCGATACGGCTGGAATTTATACACGGTTGTATGGAAGCTGGCCCCCGTGTGTAAATTTAAGCTAAACAAGTGGATTCGGCTTAGGTTTCATTTTCACTGGTTCCAGTCACAGCTTGAACATGTGGTTTTTTCCAAAATAGCTGTAACCAGCTAAACCAAAGTCTCAGCCTAATCCACTCATTTCGTAAACGCTTGATTGCTGCATTTAGTTCCCTTTTACGTCTGTTTGCATATGCACGTTATAAAGGCCCGGTGCCCGACTTTTGCGTAGCGTCGCTATCACTAAGCACATGTTTGATATTCCAGTTGGTCGCATACTAACTACTAGTTGTACGTCTCGATCAAGGCTTTAATCTATGCCAAAGTCTAAGCCATAAGTTATCAGTGTCATTAGTTTAAACAAAAGCAACAGCAAGGACCAGGGTCTTTGTTTTTTTTTTCTTGAACATATGTCTTAAATATTGTATGGGAGCAACTTGCTCCCGTAAAGTGACAAATTCAGCTGATTAGCCCAATTTCAAGCCCTGGCAATATTATATGCACCCAAGTGGTCAATAGACAGAATTTTCCATCTGTCTTAATTCTAAAGGATCAACAGTTTTTTTTCATTCGAGATTTGCAAATAATTTTGAGATCTAGTGATATTTCACTGCGGTAAAGAAATGTCAACCCTTACTCATACAAGGGACCTTACTCATACAAGGAACCTTACTCATACTAGGAACCTTACTCATCCTTGAAAATCTCAACACCATATATTAACTGAATGCACAAACAGTTGGATAGCTTAGGATAGGTTAGAAAGCTTATTCCTCTCTGTAAATTCTGTAATTTAAATTTGTATGCAGGGAAGAGAGCTGAAAGAAGTAATTATAAGTTCACAAATTATTGATAACTTCAGCAATCGACAAATATTGTAGTCTGCATAAACGAAAAGGCCCCCATACACTGCACCACACAGGCCATGACGAATCGCCTGTCCGATAGCCCACGGCAATCAAATTTTAATTCGGGTAATTAAATTTCTGACTAGCTGTGCCCATACGAGCAAGTCCAGAAAAGCTCACCTGCATTAGTAAACCAATCATTTTATGTGCTAAAGCTTAACTTTGAACATCAATGATAATTCCAATATGATAAAGAATAACCCCAACTTCACCCCACATTGCCCCATGCAGGTGTATGACATTCAAATCAGCGAAGTTATCATCGACGTTGATATAAACAAACACAGTTTTCTCTCAGCTGATCAGGGTTTCCAATGCACGTTCTGAAACAGCATACACAATTGGCTGAGAGCACCATTTTTCAATTTTCGGAAATTTTGTTAACAAGATCAGAATTATTTAATAGATTAGGTGATGGGGTTGGCACTTCATTTCAGTCATTCTAGGGATTGTAATTACTTGGATGTAAAAAAAACCTTGTAGTAAATATAATTTTTGTGACCTACATTTAGCAATCAACAGTTTACAATAATAGTTAATCATCCTACCGGTACAGAGCATAAAAGTATTAGAAACTCAGAGCATAAAAGTATTAAAAACTCAGAGCATAAAAGTATTAGAAACTCAGAGCATAAAAGTATAGAAACTCAGAGCATAAAAGTATTAGAAAATCAGAGCATAGAAGTATTATAAACTAAGAGCATATAGTATCAGAAACTCAGCATAAAGTATTAGAAACTCAGAACATATAAGTATTAGAAACTCTGAGCATAAAAGTATGAGAAACTCGGAGCATAGAAGTATTATAAACTAAGAGCATAAAGTATTAGAAACTCAGAGCATATAAGTATTAGAAACTCAGAGCATATAAGTATTAGAAACTCAGCATAAAGTATTAGAAACTCAGAGCATAAAAGAAATAGAAACTCAGAGCATAAAAGTATTAGAAACTCGGAGCATAGAAGTATTATAAACTAAGAGCATAAAGTATTAGAAACTCAGAGCATAAAAGTATCAGAAACTCAGAGCATAAAAGTATTAGAAACTCAGGGCATAAAAGTATTAGAGACTCAATTATAATACTACCGGTATTACATCAGATTCCTTATCCAAATTCTTACACAAGAAAATATTCCCACCTCGGGCCCTGGTTGTTAAACCACTTGCGTTTATTGCTGCTGTTAGTTGCATGTAAATGTACATGTATGCGCCTTGAAAAAGATGAACATGTATGTCTCCCTGTTTTGTAAGAGGTTACGTGTACGGTATGGAACAGTGGCAAAGGGACAAGACATGTACATAGACAAACACTAAGTGACTGACTCATTGTAAGCTTGATACAGTATCTATAGTGTGTCCATACATGTACAGATGTTTGTAAACAAGTAAATAATAAATAAAACAGTAAACACTGAATAATAAAAAGTGTACTGGTGGTTATTGTATCATACATACCCGTAACAGCATGTACTGCACATGTACAGGTGAATACATCTTTGACAAAATGGTACATAAACATGTACTCTATACACATGAATAAAATTAGCACGGAAGCATGCTTCTTTAAATGGAATACTGGTTCATGTATGCCATGAGTTACACTT